ATAACCCGGCGGACAAGAGCACGTATAATTTCCCTCCACATTGTGGCATCTCCTACTGCAGAGATGCTGCCCGTCGCACTCATTAATATCTGCAAATTCAATCCTCAAGCTCATTATTATACATATCTCATATATATATATATATATATAAGCACAGCTTTATATATATAAAGATAAATCAAAATATTATTATACATATCTTTGGCAATAAAGAGCACACGAGTAAGAACCTTATCAAACACTTTGTTTTGGAGAATTACTGCAAAGGCTGATAGGCTTACCTTTGCAGGCTGTATCATGGTGAGAGAGGTAGGGGTTGCCTCTGAAACCTTCTTTACAAACGCAGTAATGCCCAATACCACTTTCTGAGTCTTTGCATCTACTGTTTTGCTTGCAGGAAAATCTGCTTTCATCTTTCTGGGCCTCATCACATGTCTGATTGGAAACAACCCAATCCACAACGACGGGAAACGCTGTTCTGTTGCCGAGATCAAGCAGGTCTCGATACGAGAAGTTGAAGGATCCTTCCTTGGCAAGAAACGCATAGCCACAAGGGTTAAAATCAAGCACGTCCGTGTAGTTCTCAGAACTGTATAAAGTGATATTATAGTTCCAGATGGCTTTGGGGAAATTGGTCTGGCAGCATCCCACACCAGAACATGCCCCGTCTTCAAAACTCGTCTTGTTACTGCAACTCAACACGCAGCCAGTCATGAACCTGCTTCTCCGGTCCCTGATGAAAGCGAAAGTGTCACAGCCCACCACAGTGAACCTGTTCTTGGTGTTTGACATAGAAAACTTGTCATTGAACCACATTGAGTTCCAGGCAAAGGAGAAGTTTGAATCATAACAATGTTTGGAAACGTGTGCTGAGACGGTTAATTCAGGAGGATCAATGGAGATGTTGAGAACTGGTATATTAGTGCCGTGAATCAAACTTGTCGTGGGTTTTCCAGATGATGGGGACGTGGTGGTTGTGCAGTTTAGGAAGAACGTTTCGTCTATGTAACAGTTCTCGCTAGTGCCAAAGGGATAGGGGATGCTCACGTTCCCACAAGTGGTGTTGCAACCCGGTTTTGTTTGGGCCGCCGCCGTGACCGCCGCCGTGCAGATCAGTAATGCCAGTTTCAAATGCATTATTGCTGTCAAACCCATCTTTAATTTCTGATCGGTATATTCAGGAATGAGTTAAAGCTAGGTAGCAAGGTACTACATATAGATGACTTGGAATCCTGATTATTTTTGGAGCGCATCAAGTTAATTTCATCGGTATAATGACGTACAAGGATCGACGAAGGAAGGAGCTTGTAGATCGACGACCTGATCGTAATCTCCGTTCTTCCACGCGAGTCCAAATCTTTGATGCAACACGATAGTGACTAGCGAGCCATGGACGACCGCAGCGTAGGGCCTCCTCTCCTTCTAGATGTTGCTTTAATTTTGAAACACTTGCCAGAATTACGTTTACTTTTATTTTTTTTTATTTTGAGCATGTAGTTTTTGCTCTTTGTTTATATATTTTCAACTCGTTTGCAAATCTTTTAATCATGTACAATTTTTTTTTCAGTTTTTGAATTCCCAATGGCCTTCAATATATATATATATACCACCTCAGGTCCTTAATATAAGACCTAATTAACTAATCTGGGGAGATCAAAAAAGTTAATTAAGTTTGTTATTTATAGTAAATAGATGTTGTCTTGTCTAAAACATCTTTATTAATAATGTGTGTTTAAATTATTCATTGATAATAACTACATAACATATGCAACTACTATAAGGATTACTTGAATGCACATTAAAATAGATAAATATTAAAAATAAAATAAATTAAAATTTTATATTTAAGACCATATTAAATGTGAAACTAGCTCCTAAGTTTTCACTACTAACGAAGATACTGCAACTAACCAAAAAAATATCATTGATTGACCCATTCCAAATATTTTTCTCTCTGACTTGTTTTGATTCTTGTAAAAAGTCTATAAATTTGAACGAGTAAATACACCCATAAAGTATTGTACAAATTAAGGAGTGGATCTTAATTAAACTATATATACTACTATAATGTAATATGTTGTTTATTAATTTGAAATAATGTTGCAAAAATCCTACATGTTATCTCTGGTGTGGCAAAAATATCTATAAAGTATTATACCATGGTGCAATTTTGTCCATTAACACTTGAAAATGGTGAGGAAAAAAAATACTCAATCCATATAGAGACACATGTTGGCAAATGTTGACCATGAATCTTAGAAAGATTCAAATTTTATTTTCCTTGAAATATATAAATGTGCTAATTTTAATTGTGGAAGTGAGTACTTTTGCACTAAACCTGTTTACATCTCTCTTAATATATGGGGCTCATAATACTTACTTACCAGACATCTAATTTCTACTATGGATTAGGGATTTTCATGTTATTTTATAAAATTCATGGATAAAATTAATCATAATGTAATTTAAAATACTTGTAACTCCCCCAGCTTCCTTATAGAATGAGTATATTTGCCTTCTTAAATCAAAATTTTATAGGAAAAACTGAGGTGAAAAAAATCTCCCATTAAAAATTTCATTGATAATAAGGACTCAAACCAGAATATCGGTACTTTATATATACAAAATTTGCAAAGTATTCATAGCGTCCTTTTCACTGATAAAATTTTCAATGTGAGATTCTTTTTTAATCTCAGATTTGTATTAAAGATGCTATAAATGAGAAGACTTTGGGTGGCGATATTATTTGGTAACAATAACAAGATTATTAGAGTTTTCTGATCATTTCGATCGCGATAGGGGTTAAAATTTCCTTTTAAACTGAGTTAGTCAAAATAATATCGGACTCATCAATCTCAAGTTTCCTTAAAAAAATGAGCACAAGATTTATCATTAATAAGCTAACAACAAGACCCTTCGATTTTCTCTAAATTTAAACATTTTTAAAACTTCCAAGACAATAAGCATAATATAAAACTCATCCACCATTTGCAAATAGTCAGTGGAAAGGAAAATTTCAGATTATGGTATTTTATTTTTTTATTTCTTATATTAAAATACTATTTTTACGAACTGACAGTTACAATATTGATTTTTTTTTTACCTTGTTTCTTTCAAGATAAAAATTAAAATTTAATAAAAATGATAAAATTCGAATGTATTTTAGAAGCATGTAACCAGAGTTTCTCATGGAGCTAGCTTTGGTATGACATTACAAATTGAACTGCACGTTACACTTCAATAAATATAAATAATTTTTAATTAGAACCGGAGGTAATATATGATGACCTCAGCTTCTCTTCGGGTTGCAAACAAAGTACTAATATTTTGTGTTGAACTTACGAAAATAACCTTGTTGGGCTGTTTCAATAAAGCTTGAAGATGGATTCCTGTCTTCTTAGACCTTTCAAACCTCATTTAGATTCCTTGATGGCTCAATCTATCTCATTTCCAGATAATAGCAATAACATCTCTTCCACTTGTGGATTATATTCAGTTTATCTCCAGATAAGGAAATATATTCAAGCCAGAAGATTGATCATTTGTAATGCTCCAAACCAGGTTGAAGTGCAAACACATTAGTCATGGTCCTAATTCAAATTGAGCTTTTTTGTTAAATAATTTCGCATCTCGTGGCGTATAATTTATTCAATCTACTTCATGTACATTTGGCAGACATTATTGGCAGAATGGAGAATTCAAACTTTCCTCCCTCCCTTCCCCCCGGGGTATATGTATATATATTAAATACTCCTCCGGTCTTTAATATAGGACTCAATTCTTGAGTTAGTTTTGGTCCTAAATATAAGACATATTTCTCATATTTATCATTTTTATCTAAATTACCCATATGGATACTCCCTTAACCATAATCAAGTAGAAGAGGGAGAGAGAGTATTAAAAAAGATGATTATGGTATTTTAGGAAAAATGTGTCACTTTTCTTATAATTAACTAACTTACCTAACTTTCTTACTCTAACCAAATTAGTTAAATGGGTCTTATATTAAGGACCGGAAGAGTATATAATTAATGAATGAGGGCGAGCGTTTGATGGGGCGGCGATGTTTTGTGATAGGGAATGGAGAAAATCAACTCGCAACCAAACCCAGGGACGGCAAGGAAGGAGTTCAAGTCTTTGGGATTTTTCTTTTAAATTTAAATCACAACATATTTGAATTTAACAAATTATTTTACTTTACTTTGATTTAGGAGGTGTTTGGCAAAAACCAAAACTATAATTTGAAATACAAAACCATGGTTGAGGAATCCGACCACCCAAATGTGATTTTTTGTCAAAATCATTTTTTTTATTCAAATACTTTCATGTACTATGATTTTGCGTGCTTTTGTCGTACAAAATCATGGTTTTTTTTAGATGGAATTATAATTTTTCTAAATATATATTTAATCTTATATTTTGTAAGTGTATGTATATATGTTAGTTATATTTTGATGCATCTAACATTTTTAAATATTTTTTTATGTACATCTAACATCTTAAATTATTTTTTGATACTTGCAACATCACACATTGCATGTAAAATTACACTAAAAAATACTTTCGGTATTAGATACACTATAAAATACTTTAAAATACTCTATGCACATAAAAAAAAATTCAGGATGCTTGATGCACCTTCACCCTATAATGTAAACAAAAAAAATTATTTATTAATTTATTACTTTAAAAAATATAAATATAATTTTTTTAATTGTAATTATCACATTAACTTATATTCTTTTTAGTAATTTTGTATATAAAAAAAGTGATTTTGATAAAAACTATCCAAACATTCTCATTTTGTCAAAATTATTTTTTTAACAAAATTTATTCTTTCAAAATTTATTCCCAAAATAACTTTTTCTTTAAAAGTTATTTTTCAAACCATGATTTAGTTTTCACCTACACAGTACACACCCTTAATTAAGAATTTTTTTCCGGGTGAAAAATTAAGAATATTTTACCGTTACAATAAGTTCAAAATTCTCTCATGGTCAATGTTGGCACTCCCGCCAAAAGAAGCCTCCGAGCCAGCTTCTTCCTGCAACTAAACAGGGCAAGCGAAAAGCCTCCGTGAGTATCCGGGAGTACGTCCTCAATTATACGACTCCAGTTTCTCTCCAGGTGCAAACAAAGTATCAATAGTTTGTGTTGAACTTGCGAAAATAGCCTTATTGGGCTGTTTCAATGGAGCTTGAAGATGGATTACCGCCTTCTCTCACCTTTCAACCTCATTTAGATTCCACTTGATGGTTCAATCTATCTCATTTCCAGATAATATAAATAACATCTCTTCCACTTGGGGATCCAATCTATCCCCTGATAAAAAAACATCAACTCTTCCCCTCAAGATGATCCAGCTACGACCAGGCGTCTTCTTCGCTGCTTTCAAACTCATCTCTCTCCTCAAATCTGTCCCCTCAATGTGCCTACCACTCGTTGCACAAATATTACAAAGAGCCACATAGCCCGCAGCATTCAAAGGATCCAACTCAAGGAGTCGTTTGGCTGCATGCTTGGCAACATGTGTATCTGTTTTGCTCAATCCGCATATCCCAAGCAGTGCCCCCCAGATGGCATGATTCGGTTTGATAGGCAGCTTCAAGACAAACTCCTCAGCTTCCTTCACCTTTCCTGCTCGACCCAGAAGATTGATCATGCTAATGTAATGCTCCAAACCAGGTTGAAGTGCATAAATATTAGTCATGGTGCTAAATAATTCCCACCCTTTGTCAATAAGCCCCGCGTTACCACATGCTGTCAGGACGCCCAGAAATGTTACAGAATCCGGGTGAATCCCAAGCTCAAGCATGGTTTCATACAACTTTAAAGTTTCACTGGCCATCCCATGATCTGAAAGGCCCATGATCATGGAGTTCCAAGAAACTATGTCCCTGTAAGTCATGTTAGAGAAGATGTTGTATGCATCACATATCTCCCCACATTTTGCGTACATTGAAATTAAGGAATTCTCAAGAATTAAATCGTACTCATATACTGTCTTTGATTTCAGACCATGAAGCTGCCGTCCCTGGTCAAGATATGACATCGCACCCATGGCTCCAAAAAGAACAGAGTATGTAGAATTTAGTGGTGAAACACCCTCAGACCTCATTTCTGCAAATAAGCTGATGGCCTCAGGAATTAGCTCGTTTTGAACGTAACCATTAATCATTGACGTCCATGCGATGGCGTCTCTGCCTGGCATGGTATCAAATAGATGGCATGCCTTCAATACTTCTCCTGCATTAAGATAGCCATTAATCATGCAAGTCCATGCAATTCTGTTTCGGACGGGAACCTTATCAAACAGAGTCTGGGCCTCGTGCAACATACCAAGCTTAATATAACCATTGATCATAGAATTGACAGAGTGACTGTCAGAGCTAGTCAAGTTCTTGTCAAAGATCGTGTGTGCCAAATCCATAAGACCAAACACAGCGTACATCTGAATGAGACTTCTGCACAGCCTTCCATCAAAATCATCTTGATCATAGCCTTTGATAAGTATTTGAGCATGTAACTGCTTGCCAAGACTCAGAAAACCTAAGCTTGCACATGCATAAGCGAGAGAAATGAAGGTTTCTCCATTTGGTTTTACATCAGAAAATCTCATTCTGAGAAAAAGCAACAAGCCCTCTTCATACAAGCCATTCCAAGTGAACCCACTAATCATGGCCGTCCAAGAAACAACATTTTTCTCCGGCATTGACCAGAATAAATTATAAGCCTCTCCCACTTCGCCCGCACGACAATAACCAGCTATCATGCTAGTCCAAGTTATCACATTCTTGCATTCCATCTCATCAAACAAAATTCTTGCTTCTTCCATCCTACCATTTTTGGCGTAACCTGCAATCATAGTATTCCAAGAAACTAGATTTTTATTAGGAATTTGGTCGAACACACGCCTTGCTTCGTCCAACCTTCCATTGCTAATCAACCCCGTAACTAATGAATTCCAGGACACAACATTCCTCTCAAGCATTACATCAAACAGCTTCCTTGCATCGTCATTCCTCCCTGAATCAGCCAGCCCACGAAACATGGAAGTCCACGAAACAACATTCTTATACGGCATCTGTTCAAAAAACTGACAAGCTTCATTCAACCGCCCGGATTGGAGATAACCCGATAACATCGCGTTGTAAGTAACAATATTTCTACTAGGCATGATGTCAAACAAGACTCGAGCCTCGTCCACATAGCCCTCTCGCGAGTACTTGGAAACCAACGAAGTCCAAAGCACAAGTCGTTCATGGAAATCCACCCCATGGTTTTTTTCAAGGAAGTTTCGGGCTTCCTGATGCCAGCGTTTAGATAGATAATGGCGGAGTAAAGAGTAATCGAAAACGGGTTTTGGGTCATTTTTCCTGGAAAATTCAACCTGAGGTGGGAGAGGCAGAGAACGGTTTTTACAAGAGTAAAGAAGATTAGAAGAGATTTTGCAGAAAGATGGAAGACGAGTCATATAACTGAGTACTGAGATGGTTCGTTCCGAACTTCCAAATTAATAGACCCAAAAAAAAAAAAAGCAAAAAAAAAACAGGAGAACAATCAGAGTAATTGCATCTTTTACATGCGGTGGTCGCCAATGAAGTCTGTAATTTAACACTCTGATTTTAATTATAAGATTTTATTTATAAATTACAAATAAAGTCATATAAGACCGAAGGTAGTACTACATCCTAACTATAAAAGTACTTGATTTGTGGAGATTATTAAGACAACGTGATAAATTAGTTAATTATAATAAATTTAATTTGATCTTTTGAATTAATTTGAAAAAAATAATAAATATGAAAAACAAAAGTCTTATATTTAAAATTAAATTAAATTTATAACTATTTTTTATGCTAAAACGTAAACAAGAGCACTAATTTTTATACTATATCCAATTTTTAACATAAAAATTAGTTAATTAATTTGAGTAGATTAAGAAAATTTGTTAAATTAGTTATTTGAAATAAATAGGCAATCTCTTCCTAAAATACCCTTACTAATACCATTTGATGGAATATTTAACATGTGCAACTATTATGAAAACTATTTTTAAAAAAAAGATAAATATAACAAATAAAATGGATTAAGGTGTTATATTTAAAACTAAATTAAAGGTCAAATTAACTCTTATATTAAGGAATAAAAGTAGTATTAAAGATAAGAGAGAACATGATATACTCCTCCTTTCCTTAATATAAGACCTAATTGTTGAGTTGATTTTGATCCTAAATATAGGACATATTTCTCATATTTATCAATTTTTTCTAAATTACCTCTATGGATCTCCCTCAACCATCATCAAGTAGAAGAGAGAAAGAAGATATTAAGGAAGATGATTATGGTATTTTTAAAAAAATATCATTTTTTATAATTAATTTACCTGACTTCTTTAATCCTATTAAATTAGTTAAATAAGTCTTATATTAAAAACCGGAGGAGTACTACCTTCAGTTTTTAATATAAGAGCTAGTTAAATAATTTAAATATATTAGAAAAATTACTTATGTTAGTTATTTGTAACAAATAAATGTTATTTTTTTAAAATATCTTTACTAATCAAGTGTATTGGCTAGAACTGTTATTATTACAAGATCTACTTTGGAGAAAAAAATAGATAAATATAAAATACAAAGTAGATTGAAATCTTATATTTGAAATCAAAATAAAAGTCAAATAAACTCTTGTATTAAATATTGGACGTTGAGGTACTCAGAATACAAGGTACAGGAGGAGAATCAAGACCGTTTGTGTGCGAACGGAGAACTTGACAAGATTATTAAATAAAGTCAAATGATTTGTAGGTAGAAAGAACTTATAGCCTCATGCCTAGGCTTTGGAAGTCTTTGCTAAAATAAGGTGCCAACCCTACCTTCACATACATTTCTCAGTAACACCTAAACTTAAGACCATACTTGTGACCAAAACAAAAAGAAATTAAAAGGAGAATAAAATAGGGGGAAAAAAGTGAAGCCGCATCACTCCTTCAATTGAGCGATTACGTCGGAAAGAAAGTGCAAACATTAGCGTGTGGTTCCCCTTTTTTTTTTTAATTGACATGGTAACGGAACAATTTACGAACCGTGTGATTGAGAAGGAATTAATGCTGTTGCCGAAATGGGGCACAGAAAAATAACCTTCAACACGGTGCCCGCAATGTCAAAATTAATTATGTGATTTAAGCTTTCTTTTCCCTTTAAACCATAAACAAAACTATTTTTCAATCATTTTATTATAGACATCGTTGCTAATAATTTTATAAATAAAGGGTTACACTAGTAATTATCTACATGTGGCACCTTTTCCTACAAATTTTTATATGTAAATATTGACTAAAAAAATTCTAGAAGAGTTTCGTTTTACCCAAGCGTTCTAACTTTTGGTGGCCCAAAAAAAAAAAAACACTCCAAGATAAATTTTGCAAGTCCACGGTTATCTTGCTATGGTACATCCGAGGGGGAAACCATTGAAATCAGTACGAGATACATATCAATCCCCCAGAATTAAAATATAGCAAATGAAAGCAAAAACCATATAAAGCCAATGAATCCTTGATGCAACAGAAGCAACAGAAGAGGTTTTCTCATGTAGCTAGGGTCGGATACTATTACCTTTGACCTTAGATGCTGTAGTAAAAGATGATTGTGAGCAATTAAAGCAAAGCACCACATAACTGCAGGATTTGGATTCAGAAGGCAGGCCATTCACTTCATAGTTTCCCAACTGACAAGCAAAATACAATTTCGCAGGAATGGAACTACAGATACACTCATACACAATTCCTATTTTCTTCTGGGGGAGGTGAGATATAACTAACAAAAGGATCGACTATGTCAAAAGATGGAATTGCGACAAAATATCAAAATAAAAGGGTAGAAGCTCCTGGTGGTGTGCTGGACGAGTATACTACAAGAGGAGCACAAATCCACAGCAGTCCATACCTGGGTTGGGCATGGTGATCCCATCATCAAGCCACTCAAGAGAGACCCAATTCATCAATGATGCCTAGACACGATCCTCTCCTTGCTAATTGTGGCAAGCAGTCCCCACTCAGTTGGAACAATCATCATGACCAAAATCATGCCAAGTACCTGAATAAATTTGCATTATCTTTGTCTCTTTCCAAGTAGTCTCGAGAGATCAAGTCTTCAATTCTCTTTTTAATTGCCTTCACATCGGGCTGTAAAATTACAAAATCAACAGCCCCATTAGAGAAAGACAGAGGGGGTGAAGATACTATTTGATACAAGCAACGCCATACAGACCTTGAACATGCGACCCAACTGTTCAACACACTCCATAACTAACTGTTGATAACCCAAAACTTTCCGACTTTTCATGATTCGTACAATTGAGGCATCAATGGCATATCTTCGATCCTTGTCTACATCCTCAATTACTTTTTTCTTCTCATCCACAGGAGGAAGAGGAATCTGCATCATGATGCATTACGACAACGCAATTTCAATCACAGGAGATTGCACAGAGAGAATAAAGATAAACAAAGATAAAAATAAGGTAGAGAAAATAAAAACAATATAAAATACCTTGATTCTCCTCATTTTGTCAGTAAATTTTGAATTGAATTCAAAATAATCAGTAGAAGTTATTGATTTTGTGTTTGGTTCCTTGTTAAGGATCTTGTACTTAGCACAGGACAACGAGTGGAGTAGTCTAGTAACATCATCATCCGACAAATTCAATTGAGTCATAATCTCCGAATAACTCAATCTATCTGAGGAATTGAAAAGCAGCAATGCAGAAGCCTATTGAAGAACAAAAGACAGCATTGAATCAGCCTACAGAAAATCATAAAAGAAACTAAAGACCTCATCAGAGCACAACATGAAGGAATGGCAAACAAAAGGCACACTAAATAAACTTAAAGGGGAACTAAAACGTTTAAAGGTCAATATAGGATAAGAAATACAACCTGGTAGGTTGTAACGATCAGCTCCATAGTCTTTGGTTCAAATTTGCCACTGATGTTACAGGTACCCAATGAGTAAATCCATGTGAGTTTTCGGTGCTTTGTTTTTGTTTGATAAAAGTCCTTAAAAACTTCAACGCATCTTATCTAAAAAGCAAAGGAAAAAAACAGCAACATATGAGGGGTCAAACATAATCAACTAAATCTAGATTAATATTGAAAACTTTGCTCTATTGTTTATATCAATAAGTTCTGGATGTACCATTTCAGCTGGAAGATTGAGGTCAAAAGATTTGTAGCTAGGCCAGAAGCCCGTTGTCAGAACTGTAACCGTCAAGTCAATTCCTGGATCTGCATTTGGATTATTGCTCAAATACTCTTCAAAGCTGGCTTGATTTTCCTTTGCTAGTGTCAGATCCGTAACCTGGTGGAAGCAACAAGCATTTGGATAATCTCATTCAACATCCTACAGAAGCACTAGAGTTTTCAAGATATGAATTAAAAAATAAAATAAGAACACTGACCATTCCTTCCATCTTCGATGTAAACTGACCACCACATTGTTGCTTCAACTTTGTCAAAATGCTTCTCTCATGATCATCATTGGCACTTTTGTCAAAAAGAAGCCTCCGTGCAAGCTTCTTCCTGCAAGAAATTAGAAAAGAACCTTAATGAACATTCGTTCCAAAATATCATAATGGGGGGGGGGGGGAGGATGATTTTGACATTTCAAAAGAAACCAGTGGAGACTGCTGTGAGACTAGCATTAGCAACAATGTCAAAACGAACCTTCGGAAGCAATTTGCTTTTGGTGTTATTTTATGAAGCTCTTTGGTATAAAAGTAATAATAAAAAAACTGATAAATCGTGATATCAATCTGGGAACGGCAGCAATTATTAAAAACCTGGTGCCAAAGAGCTTGGAGAGACATAAAACCATAGCTAGAAACAAAAATTAGAAGCAAACCCTGAGAAGCAGTATCACTCAGCCAAATCACCCCTTATAATATTAGTTTCTCTTTTGTTTTACCTATAGAATTCTGCGAACAAGTCTTTGTCACTGATATAGGCAAGCAGCTTGACTACCTGCAAATAAAAAATAAAAATAAAAATGGAAAACAATTTCAAAGTCAAAAACCAAGTTAGTTTCTTTGTCAGTGTCCATTACATATAGAGTGGAGCAGACCTTTTCAAGTGTTTCCTCAATCGCTTCATCACTCAACTTCTCGCTTCCACCTTTCTTGAGAATATTGTCACAAAATGTGGCAAGCAGTTCTGCACTAGAACCTCCAGCCACACCCTTGTTACAGAACACCTCAAAAGCTTCCTTAAGTGCCTGCAGAAACAAAAATTCAGATTTCCAGATGCGCAAGAATAATTTCAAATAGAAATATAACAACTTCAAATCCATTCTCTGATCGAAACCTTGTGGAAAAGGGTATGGTTTTGGAAGCACTCATTCACATACGCCAAGTATTTGTCATGCAGCTCAATCACTTTCCGAACAAACATCTGAAAAGACCAGTTTCAGCTTCTACAATTGAATGAAAATAGAGAAAAATTAAAATAATAATAATAATTAAAGATTTTACCTGTTCCTGCAAACCTACAGTATCCCGTTTCTCTGCCTGCAAATATTCCGAGTTTAGAAAGGAAAAAAGGAACAAACCAAAGGTCAGCCAAAAAATAAATAAAAAATAAAGTTGCAAGAGGATTGCATGGTATACAACTTGATCAGGTCCCATTTCATTTGCTGCATATGAAATATGCAAGAGAAATCGTTTCAATTCCATTTTCTTTATCTTGATATGTTAACAAAAGTCATTTCTGAAATTGTTCAAGGAAAACATTACCATGGCATCCTAAAAAAATTAGCAAAAAAGACATTCAAACCCAGGATTTAAATTTTCATTTCATTTCTTTTTTCTTTTTTTCCCCTTTCCATAAACAGGCCTCTTTGGGTACACAGTTTAGAACTGACAAGAGAAATCAAAAAATCAAGACAACCCATAAAGTACATAGGACAAAAGCATACTAGCACATACTGGTCTCTCCCCGCTTACTGAGAAAAATGAACTTTCCAACAAGAAATTAAAAGGAAAATTACTAATGCAGACCCAGACCTTCTTGTTACTAGCTGCATCTTCAGCCAGCTTTACCAAAGCCATGCCTTCAGTGGTAACATGCTGTATTAGAGAAGAGAGTAATTAATTAGCAAGCCGGAAAAAATTAAACAAGATTTAAATGTAAAAAGAAATATATATAAATATAAAGGAAAAGATCAAAAAAATAAGAAAATGGTACCGACCTGCTTAAATATACCAGATACAGGATCCAAGCCTCGAGGAATTTTAGAGAAGAGTCTAAACATCCTTGACAAATCCTCAACCTAAGCAATTCAAGGTAGATATGAAAATATGGCATCATATCCATGTATTAAGCTTCATGGGAGTTTAAATACATACCTTGTCATCTCTAAGTAAAGCATGACATCCAGAGTGCTCCTTTTCAAGGAGTTGGTTTGCATACACAGATAACAGCTCATGTTGAACTTTCTAAAAGAGAAAAATGTCCAGAATAACAAATAAGAAAATAATGGTGGAGGAGAAAAGAAGAGAATATTAGAAATGGAATTAGTGAAGACTTACGCTAGACATAGGAAATTTAAGATTATTTAAAATTGTGAAGATGTCCTAGGTTTACGTATTTTCTAAATTTTATTTATTTTCCTTTCCGATATCTTGGTCTCCCTGTAAAAACCTTATAGTAACATAAGTGCGCAATCATTTAAATTACATCATCATTTTTCTTCTTTTTCTCTCCCACTCCCGCACTCTTTCACTTTTGCTTTCTTCCCGTTCTCATTACTCTTTCCTCTTTTCATTAACATGAACAATACTAAATATATACCATCCTTGATATTATAACACGTTCGACATAAAACTAGAAGTAGAGCACAAACCTCAAGTAACTTTGGCTCACTACTAGAATGTAAGTAATGAGCAACCCTATCTTTCTCCCGTTTCAAGCATTCCTCAGCCTGTAAAAGAAGGCACGAGATCAAATAGAATTATAATTATACAGTAACAAAAACAAAATAACAAAGACACATCATGCATAACTGAGAATTTACACCTTCAGCATATAATCAGGGCAAGAATCTTCTAAGATCCAGTTTGAAGCCTTCCGGGAATAATAGGAAGAAGTGTCTTTCAGCATAGCTGCTTCAAAATCATTCTCATAGCAATCCATTTGCCCCATACCAATCTCAACAAATATATCTAAGACATTCTTTAATAGAGCTCGATCAATCTGCTCTCCCTCACGTTCTTGATCAATCTTTAAGTGTTAAAGAATTGGGTTAACAATCTAAATTTGCAATGTTAAAAATCATAGCTATTAAAGCAGAAAAACATACAAGAGAAATGACTGCATCCCTCACTTTCCCATTTATTTCCTTGTAGACCTGGAAATAGCACAGCACATAAGATTATCTCGAAATGAAGCAGAATTAAACTAAAACAGACAATGCAATAGAAATTTAATTAGCACTAGCAGTAGCACTACAACGCTAGTATGAATTTATGACATGAAATCTTTATGGAAATATATAGAAAGAAGGGCCAGAACACAATGTCAGGTTAAGCAGTAGCAATACCAGCTCACGGAAGCAAGTCAATCCAACTACATTAAGGGGTGGAAGTGACCTCCGAGCAATGAAATACCGATCTAGATAGTGAAAGAAACGAGACAGCCATCTAACCATAATTTTGTGGTTTGCCCATCTCTTTACAAGTTCTCTCAACATGAATTCGTCATGTTTTTCTCTCAAGGCAGGCAGAACCTAAACCAAAAAGGTATGAAAGTTTATCAGACGAAAAATATGAAATTTAGAACTGAAATCTGAACAAAATATACCAATCAAAATAATTAACTACTAATAAACATAACATGTTTCAGAGGTGAATTGTCCAAAAAATCAAAAAATAGCCAACCATGGTTTAGTCAATAATCATATAGGACTGATAAATCCCAACATTGCTATCTCATATCCCAGTATTAAACTTATTCCCAATCAATACCCATATGAGGACATTACTCACCGTTGATAATATATACTCTTCAAAAGACTCCCTGTACTTGTCATAGAGTTGTTGGGAATAATCGTGAGGAGGCTTTTGAGTACACATATTATAGATAGTCCTGTGATACGATTTAAGGAAAATGTAGGTCGTGATGAAATACAAAATCACCTCTAGTAAATTTAATTCAACCATTTAAAGAATCGTAAAAACTACAAGAAGGATACGTGTATAGCATCATGTAGTCCTCAGAGCTAAATTGTTGCTCTTGCAGCCCTTCTAGAATGTTCTTCAGCTTCGTGATGCCTTTCTGCATAAAGTCCCATCCTTGTTCTAGGTCGATGGTCTTGCGCTCACTCATCGCCATATCAGCGAACTACGCTTTCAGCCCAGATACCAAAATCTGCACAATAAACCTCGAAATGTTTAAATGCCAACCGAAATTCCAAACTACAATCAAACAGATGACATCTTCAAAACATCCATACTCAAATCAAGAACAAGAAACAAATGTCACTAAACCCAAAAAATAGAACTTCAAGTTTGCCCCCAAATTTCCCTGTCCATCAAGAAACCAAAGACTAGTAACTTCATCTCTAGAATCACACCGCCATCAGGTACACACGAAAAGATTCAAGATCACCAAAAAGGGGGAAGGAAAAAAAGACCACTGCAAAAAGATTAACACTCTGTAGGTACCCTGGCGAAGGACACCACCACAATCGGAGCGGTGAGTTAAAACAAAACCCTAGAAATAATCGGTGAAGGAGGGAATGTTCCAAAAGGACGAAGAAGACTGATGAGAGAGGGGGAATTCTTAAGCGCGAAAAAATTGAAAGCGACTCGGCTTATATGTACCTGTTCTCCGGACTCGGATGCTCGCATACAAAAATCAAAATCGAAATAAAATCTAAAAATTATTGACTGCTATGGAACTTGGAAGTTGGGGGCGGGGATGAATAAGGATTGGGCGGAAATTTATCGTCCTGAATCTGGAAGGAAGAATCCCGATCCTCAAAGCTAGAATGCAAAATTCATTGCCTGTTTCCTAAAATACGGAGCTGGCGTCTCTCCTCTGCCCCCTTTCCTCCACTGCCCTCCTCTACCCAATAACCCAACTGTGTCATTTTGGGTGGAAAATTGGAGAGCCAAATGCTTTTTTTTCCCCAAAAAAAATTAGTATTCTGAAATAATTTTAGTTCACTAAATATCTTAAAAAATTTTCAGAAACATTTACCCAGTATTTAAAGTTATTTTTGTACACTCAGTATTTAAAAATTTTGTCAGTAACACCTAATATCTTAAAATATTTTTTGGTTCTAGTAGCACATAATATCTTGAAATATTTTCTTTCAATAACAAGTTTTAAGATATTGGATGCTATTGAAAAATATTTTAAAGTACTAAATATATTAAAAATTATTTTAAAATATCAGGTGGGTGCTCATGAAAAAAATATTTTAGAATATTAAATACACCAAAAATTATTTAAGGATATTAAATGCTCATAAAAAAACAAGTGTCCTAACTTAGGATATTAAGTACTATTTCAAAAACAATTTATGATGTTAGATATATTAAAATTATTTTCCAGTCATTATTTAAAGTTATTTTTGGTACACTCAGCATTTAAAAATTTTGTCAGTAACACCTAATATCTTAAAATAATTTTTGGTTCTAGTAGCACATAATATCTTGAAATATTTTCTTTCAATAACAACAAGTTTTAAGATATTGGATGCTATTGAAAAATATTTTAAAGTACTAAAATATTAAAAATTATTTAAAATATCAGGTGGGTGCTCATGAAAAAATATTTTAGAATATTAAATACACCAAAAATTATTTAAGGATTATAAATGCTCATAAAAAAACAAGTGTCCTAAACTTAGGATATTAAGTACTATTTCAAAAACAATTTATGATGTTAGATATATTAAAAATTATTTTTAGAATATTCAGTTTCACGAAAAAATATTTTACGATGTTGAGTATACTAAAAATTATTTTAGGATACTGTGTGAATGTTCCTAAAAATATATTTTATGATGCTAAGTGCATCAAAAATTATTTAAAATACTAAATATATTTAAAAAAATATTTCAAGATACTAATTATTTTTTAAAGCGATAGTTATCTCCAGATTCTTATAATTTTATATTTTTTAATCAGGTCCCTGTAAAAAAATTTTTATTAGATCCTTTTACTTTCACGTATTTTTAATTAGACCCTTTCATTTTTTCTTTTTTATCAAGTCCTTATAGTTTCACTTACTTTTTAATTAGGTCTTTTGTAGTTTTAAAAAATTATTTATTAACTTTATTCTGTAAAATTAATTTCATTTTAATTAATAATTAGATAATTAGATAAAATAATTAATATAAATATTAAGTAATTAATAATTAATCATAATAATCAATTATACTTAACTACAAATTAATTATAATTTTAGAAAATTTTATTATTATAATTGAATTTTATATTTATAAACATTAGAAGTGAAAAATAAATAATATCTATGTTTAACTAAAAATTTAAAAGAATACTAACATTAAAATTATTATAATAATTTACTATTTATAGAATATTATTATTTATAGAATAAAGAATAAAAACTCTAAAGACCTAATTAAAAATAAGATAAAACAATAAGGACCTGATAAAAAAAATTATAAAGACCTCATTAAAGACATATGAAATTATAAGGACTTGATAAAAAGAAAAAAAAATTATAAAGACCTAATTAAAAACCTGTTGAAACTGTAAAAACTTGTATATTAATTATCCGTTTTTTAAAAAAGCATTCAACCCTTTTGCTAATCAAGTGTGTTAACTAAAATTACTATTTGATGAAATATTTGACATGTGTAACAACTACAAGGACTACCTTGAGAAAAAATAAATAAATATAAACGACAGAGGGAATTGATGTAACATTCTGAGTTTATCGGGTTTAATAACCTCTTTTGGTTGATTTTAAGGACAGATTAGTGATTTAATGTTGATCTTGGTGTTGGGTTGGAATTGAGGTATGTTAGAGGAATAGGTGAACAGACCCCTCTCAGGGTATGTTCACCGCGGCGAAGTTAACGGGAGTTCCAGGGGGGATGTCTTTCAGGAAGTTTGGCCGCGGCGAAGTCATAGGGACACCGCAGCGAAGTTGTTCAGGTGAGCGAGAGTTTCCTCTCGGGGAGCTTTCACCTCAGCGAAGATTGGAGTTCGCCGCGGCGAAATCAAGTTTTCAAGCGAGTGATCTCTCTCTGGATTAGTTCGCTGCGACGAAGTTCTGGGTTCGCCGCGGCGAAAGGTGCTGAATCTATATAGTTGCTGGAGGGGTCAGATGTGCGAAAATTAGAAAATCTGAAGGAGGAGAGAGAAGCTCTGCTAGGGTTTCGGTGTTATGGCTTGGGAAAGGCATTTTTAAGGATTCATTTCCTCAAGTAAGTGATTTTAACCTCTAATCTACTTTCTTTCTTGGAATTTCTGAGGATTTATGGTGAAACCCTAGAGTTTTCTAGGTTGTTATGGAATTGAGGTTTTTGACCGATTGTTTTGAGTTTAATTGATTGCTTTGAGTTAGTCTAAGTATTTAATCAGTGTAGTTTTCTTGGATTTAAAGAACCTTGAGTTTTTGAAGCTAGGGTTTATGGAAATGGGAGGTTTGTGATTGAGGATGACAATGTGGAGATTGATTTTGAGTTTTGTGATTTGGGTTATGTTAAGGAGGTTAAATTAGATGTTTAATCGGTTTAGAATGTTGTTAAGACTTCAATTGTTCAAATGGGATGTTTGGGTGTTGAATTCCTATAGTGGGTCCTTGAGGTTATGAGTTTTAAGTGATGTTTAGAAAGGAATTAAGGTTTCAATGGATTTTCATGACCTTGGAGTGTTGTCTTGATGGTTATACCCTTTGAGTTGAGTAGAGTTTGGTTGGAGTTAGGAATTTTTGTGTCCCCAATTGTTGTTTTGGCCACATTATTAGTTGAAAGCTAATACATGATAGTTGTGTGTTTGTGTGCTTGTGTAGACCGGTTGTGAGTCTTGTTGGTGCACGGGGCCGTATTGTGTCGGTTTGTTATTCCTTGCTCAAGCGAGAGATAACCACTTTCCAATCCTTTGTACATGTTTTTGTGGTACTGTGTGTGAATTTATGCTTTGTGCTTCGAGTAGCAACTATGTTCAAAGTGTATGTTGTATATTGAAAAGGAAAACCGTCTTGTGGGGTTTAAATTGATATTGATTGAATTTGTAACTTGTGAAAGATAGGCCACTGAAAGAAGTTAATTATGAAATGATTATTTACTTTTTGGTTATGGTTTGAGCATGATGCATGTATTGGGAATTAGTGAGAGTTTTGATTGTTACTACCACGTGGTAAGGCCTCCATTAATGCATGATGGTTGGCTCTTTACGTCCCCCAGAGTGAGGGATAGGCCTTTTATGGCTCCTTATGTCCCCCATAGTGAGGAATAGGTCAGGTTCGGCTCTTGAAAATCCCCCAAAGTGAGGGATATGGTTGATGGGATTGCATCATTGCACTTGTATTACTTGTTGTGGCTATCATTTATAATATTACTTGTGGATTGCTCCCCTTGACACCTCACGAGCACCTATTTAGTAGTACCTTGAATTGGAAAGATTGGTTACTGGGACGTTGTCTCACCCCGTGGTTTACAATGTTTTCAGGTGAAGGTTCTAGGCGAGTACCGTCGGGAAAAGACGCAGAGGCTTGAGCTTGGTTAGCTTTAGGCCTCTAGCCCTTGTATACGTATAGCTAGTATATATTGTCACATTTAGGATCCCTTTTGAAATATTTTAATTGCTCAATCTTATTGTAAACTGGAGGGAGTGTTATCTTCTTATTTTGGGTTGGCCGGAGGCCATTTCTGTTATCTTGTGAAACTTTGTTTTATTTGGTTGGAAACCATTTGGATGGGCTGATGTCGATGTCTTTTGTTACCCGGGCTGGAGGCTCGGAGGCCCAATGGTTGTTAATGAATGATTTTAGTTGCATGCAACAAAGTTCGAGTTCGAACCGAGTTTAAATGTTAAATTCTAGAGTTATGCAATTTCTTTCTACTATGGTAGTTCATTTTAACAGCTTTCCTTTTCTATCATAGTAGTGATTTTATAACGAGTTTATAATGTTTTGAGGTAAAGGGTTTTACAATTGAAGTCATATATGTAAAACCAAATTGAAAGTCAAACTAGTTCTTATATTAAAGACCAGAAATAGTACTAATATAGATATGCATGGGGGTTGCAGAGACTGATTAGTATTTATTTTATTAAATAAATAACTTAATTAATCATCACTAATACTATCAAGTAAAAAAATACCAATAAACGGACATAGAGAATATTTCTTTTAATATTATTTCCCCTCAAATATATATTATTGAATTGAGTGGAAGATGCATAGGAAGATTTCTTATTATTATTTGCAAGCAAAATATTGATTTGAGCCATGTGAATAAAATATACATGAATATGTCTCATCGGCAAAAATTTTACCCTCTTTACAGCATGGCAACTTAAATCAATGGCAATGTTAGTTAATAATGCTAACTAGAAGATAGTTCAAGGAAAAACACTCAAGCTGATCCATTGACACTCTTTGAGGATGGAGGTAATAACCTAACTCAGCCTATTTAGATCCTGTTTGGCATGACATTATAAGTTACTTATAAGCATATTTTACGTAAACTAAGATAAAATTTCTCTCATATATTTATATTATATTCAATAAATTACAATAAACTATTTCAAACGGCCCTTGGTCCTTAGTGGATAGGTTGAGATCAAGTATAAGCTCATTGTCAAGTCTATCCATCAATACATCAACATATTTCTTCTTCTGCTTTCTCTTTTTCTTGTGCTCAGGCTCAATGCAAGACCTAAAATCCCCACCTTCCTCGTAACTTGTGTCCTCATATATTCTACCTGATATGGACTTGCTTTTACCATCTTTTTCTTGCATGCTCACTTCTTCATCTTTATACACTGCAGAAACGTTTTCACGTTTGGAGCTTTTTCAAATAGTAAATCTCGTCGTTTAATTTTTGGATATGTATGGTTTTTAAGTTCCCATTGTGCACATAAGCATAAAGGTTGAGCAACTGCAAGACTGCCACGACAAGAGAACAATATGGCATCTCAATCCCTTTCTTGTTGTGTCTAAGATCATCAAAATAAGACATTGAGCTCTATCTTTGAGAGGGTTAGCAAAATGGCCAAAAGAAAAGGATGCAAACATTAGGCCTTGTCCCTTTTGAGTTTTGTCTTTTTATTGATAGGGCATCTCAGTCTCTTTCTCGTCACATATGAAATCATTAGAATATGATAAAACATGGGATAAAAACGCTGTTCTATGTGTTTTTAGAAGGAAACATGAAAAGAGAGTGTCTCAGTCTCATTCTATGAACACCTTTAAATGAAACATCAAATATTATTTGCAAAGATTCTTTATAATATTATTTACATATGTTGACGTACATAAAATTGAAGTTTAAAGTGAAAACAAATGGGACAAAAATCACACATAAAATTGACACTATAAATTTTCCCCCTATAATCTTATGTTTTGAAACAGACGTACATGTGACTTCTTTTTTTTTTTAATAGAAGGGACCGAGACACGTGGTGACTAACTGGCAAACGGAAGCCTTTAACTGAAATCTTTTAAGAAAGTTGCTCTATACTTCATAGGAAGAACAGTCATGGTGATGGTTTCAACATTTATTAGGTGGCCTTGACTAGCTAGAGAATCAGCACAATGGTTGACTTCTCTTGAAATGAGATCAAACATAACAGTCTAGTCACATATCAGGAGGTGGCGAGTTTGTTTGACTTGGCCATCTAGAGGATGATCTTGAGAAAGGTCACTATTGATTAGTTGCAAAGCTTCTGTAGAGACACTATAAACAGCAATTTTGCGATGACCATAATTCCAACTAAGGCAAAGTCCTTCATGGATTCTGATAACCTCTACGGCAATATGGGGAGTGTAACCTAATTTTTTGATTAAACCAAGAATCCAAGTTCCCTTGCTGACATATATGAGTTTGAGCTGACATTTTAACTCACGAGTAAGGCAAAATGAGACGAAATGTTGATAGAAGGTTCAAACTCTCTCGTGTCCTGTAGAGGATTCTAAGATGCTACTTCTTGTTCTTAATATAAGACCTATTTAACTAATTTGAGAAGATTAAAAAAACTAGTTAAGTTAGTTATTTGTATCAAACACTATCAACATGCAGCGAAATTGAATGGCTCCAAGGAAAGGTGATCACTTTAGAACGCCATATGATCCAACACAAAGCTATAAAATAAATAGGATACATATAACAACACTGAGAAAATCTCAGAAACTTAAGCCGCTAACCCTCTAAATGATCACCGGATCTCAGAAACCAATTTGCCTTACTGACATTTTGCTATGAGTTCATTTCAATTTCTTTTTGCCCCCAGTGTTGATCAGCGGGGTTAAAATGGTTTTGTTGGCAAACAAAAAATTATAGCAAAATGTCAGTTATACAAATTTCAAAACTGCTATTTTATAATCAGTTACTGAGATCCAGTTGAGGATAGTACAAGAAGGAAAGAAAACCAAAAGTAACCAGAGAATTAATTAGAGAAAAGCACAGACCCATTATATAAATCAAGTGAAGGACAGATTACAAGCTCCAGGAAGTCAAAGAAATAAGCCGACCCAGAAAACGAAATAGACAAAAAGAAGAAAGAAAATGATACTTTTGCATTTCAAGACTATAGGAGGTCTCCACCATCAAAACACCCAGATTCTGTTCACCCTCCACCTCTCTCATATCTTTTTTTATTCACATTTTCCATACAAACCTCCCCTGAAATTTCCCAGGATTAGCTTTCCAATGCCCCTCACCCCCTTGTTATTTCTCCAGGCAGTTGTCCATTACTACATTATTTTGTCCTTGCCCCAAAATTCCCTTAACAATGCCATATTCCCCTCTCACTCATCTGCTTTAATTTGATGATCAGTTAGAAATTATACGGAGAACACTACTTGTCTATATCGTTCCAATTTTACCAGATGTACCCAAAGAGTCGGAGAATGCTACTTTGTTAAGCAGCGAATTTAATCTACTGAGGATGAAACTGAAGACGACAGGCTGAGAATGGAGACAGCATGGTGAATTCAAAGATGAATAAGGTGCATAAATTTTCAAAGAGAAAATACACTGTTAAGGGAGATAGGGGAGATATACCATGCATAATACAGCATCCGCTATCTGTTTATTCATCTCTTCATAAACCTGAAACAAGTGGGTGAGTCTGTGGATATGCTTTCAGAGAATAGCAAAATAAGATGTAAAGTAAATTAGTTCAAAGAATTTCACCACCAATCAAGTCATGGAAGGACAATAAGCTACTTTCTTCAAGAGATGGAAGCCCCCATCTGGGAATATAGTCTCTGTCGAGATAATGAAAAAATCTTGAAAGCCACAAAATCATAATTTTGTGATTTGACCATCTTCTATGTAATCCTATCAACAAATAGTAATAATCTCAAAACTAGACTTACGGTGGAATTAATGTATTCGTCAAAAACCTTTCTATGCTGATCATAGAGCATCTTAGAGTTTTTCTCACCCTGGTGGTCGGTACACAATTCGTAAACAAGTCTGGATACTTGAGTTAAGACCATAAAAAAGGAGAGCAATTTTGAGGACATCAGGTTCCACATAAAATTGCTACTTTCAAGTCCACACATAGAAGAAGGAAAGGGCTCAACTGTTGAACAGTTGAAGCTCTCATTCAAATTTTAAAATCACTTCCCATCAAGAATGCTGTCGTCCGGCAAGAAATAGAATGAAGTATTCAAACGAGAAAGCATTAAAAGTTTTTACAAAATGAGAGAATTCATATTCCATGCATAAACTTAATTTAGATTAAAATCTGACATCTCAGATCCATACTGAAGAAATGGATGAGAAGGAAGTAGAATCGTGCATCTAAACGAAAACTTTTTCCCCTTTCTTTTTCCTCCATTCTCCTCAATCCAAACATAAAACAGGGTTCTGTTGTTTATACCCCCGCACCACCACAACACACACATGGACAGATAGGTAGAGACTTCACCAAGAAAAAAAGAAAGAAAGAAACACAACGGAAAATAAACTGTCAACAACTGAATAATCATGAAAATCCAAGCATAATAAAAACCCAGTGATCACATACGAAATCGGAAGGATAAGTATAAGAACACATGTGGTCGTGCGAAGTGATGCTAGAATTGTCAAACCCTTCAATTAGTCCAATCACTTTATTAGGGTTAATATCAGACACAGAAACTACAGCGAAGAGGTTGAGATGAAGCAAGAATAGAGAGAGAAGCACCAAACGCGAGAAAAGGGCATTCATGGTGGCGGTGATGATGATTTAGGAAGCAAGATCAAGTATCATGCACCATCGTTATCAACAATTGCCAACGTTTGACTCCCATTTCAAGCCTCACGCATCATTTTAGAATTTCCAGATTGCTGGGCCCCACTGACATCTCCCCTTTAGCAGTGGAAAAAGCTCAAGCTCGTGGTTCTTGACCAAATCAGCTAATCTTTGCAAGTGCAACATTTTGAGGAAACTACGTATTTAATTCAGGATTCGAATTTGAAATAATTAATTCGCCTAATATAACCTTTTACTAGTTAAGTCAACTCAACCTTGCATTTTATTCCTAGAGGAAAAGCAAGCTCCTGTTGAATTGGTGCATGACGAGGATAATGATGCAGGAAGTTCGATCGTGCACTTGGAAGCTACCATGGAAAAGGCTGTTCACTCACTGATTCTTAGGATGTTAAGAAAATTAACGTGTGTCAAGATTTTTTCTTTTTGATACACAGGAAAAGAAATTCAGAACAACACCGGACGAAACTACGACCCAGAAACAGAGACCAACGTGCTCAGAAAGCGTCTATATGCATTCTGATCTCTGTCAATAACTTGAAAGTTCACTATCCAATTCCAGCTTAGTATATTGTTGATTTCCATGATCAGCAGTCCCCAGTCTTCATGCATCTCCTGTGTTATGTATGCTTCATTTCCGTTCCATAGTGAATTATTATTTGGTCATCACGTTGTCTCCAAAGGAGCCAGCAAATAACTACGAAAAGACCTCGATCTCCAGTAGCAATTTCTTCCGAAACTTGTTATTGATTGCTGGTGTTCTTCCAGAAAGATTTAGCTTACGGACAATCTCTGAGAACATGTAATTCATCTTCAATCTCAAAGATCAAGACAAACCCAATGAACAAGGTTGTAAGCATTTTCCAAATTGATTTTAATACTAGTAATAAATCCTTTTTTACCATCCATATGTTTCATAGAGCACACTATAATAACCTTCTTAACGTGTGTAAAGATAGGTAAAGAGAATTTCAATGGAGAATTGTGTTGCTTGCCACTCTAAAACTAGTCCATGATCTTAAATACAAAGCTTTATTAGTTATTAAGAACTTTAATAGCTTGGCTTTGAGAGAAATGCAATTCAGACACGCAGCGGAGGAAACCCTGATTGGTGATTTAGGGCACATTTTTAAATTACCCTAATTAATCTTTCTAATGATTAATCTCAAACGATGCTTATGAGAGATGCAGCCCGTGCACAATGGATTTTCATTTTCAAAACCAAATAGAAAAATAATCACTTAATACAAATAGTTTTCAAGAGATAAAAGCATACTCCCTTAGTGTTAAATACAATATTTTCAAAATTTCAATCCACTTTATTTATCATTTTTAATTCTATAAATTAATTTAACTATTTTACAAATTAATTCTATAAGTGAATTCAACTATTTGCCTCAATTTCAATTGGAGGACTTCATGGACCGCCTCCACAAAGTATGCAACGCGCTTTATAGCCTTTAGTGCATGACCAACTTTTCACAGGGTATATTATTTCTTTATATAATGTCATATTGTACAAATTAACAAAATCCTTATATAACCCCTTTTTTACAGGTAGTTTCTTGATTCCCTGGCATTAAACAGTAACAATATACAGTTGAATGGCTCCAAGGGAAAGGTGATCGCTTTAAAACACCAAATGATCCAACAGAAAGTTACAAAATAATAGGACATACATAGAACAACACTCAGAAAATCTCAGAAACTTCAGCAGCTAACCCTCTAAATGTTCACCGGTTCTCCTTAAGAAATTCCTCATCTTCTTTGGGTTCAAATTCATCCTTAATGTTAAACATCTTGCGAATTTCCTCAGGAGTCTTCCCTTTCATCATGTCTCCTACCTTCTGGGATGCCAGATCCAGCAGACTCTTGATGTTCAAGTAGTTCGAAGCCAGAATGAGATCGAACAGCGTGGCATTATTGACCTCCACAAATTTGACATCCCAGTCCTTGAGATCAACGCCTGAGGTTTTGCCCTCGAAATTGGAAGATTCAACATGCTTATAGCAGTACTGGATGACCTTGATCAAGATCTTGCTGCTCAATTTAAGAGGAATGGTGCTATTGGCTGTAGAAGTGGCTTCAGATTCAACCATGTCCTTGATTGACTCTAGCATAAGTGCAACATCATAATTAACTACAAATATATCTCCATCAGAGCTCGTCAAATAGACTTGCTTCGTTGACTTTATTGGATGATCATCTAATTTCTCTTCCTGCAACCATTAATAATCCTTTAATTAGCATAGTGGGGGTGCACAAGGAGGAAAACAAAGAAAACAACCCACTATTCTCAATACTCAAAATTTGGTGTGAATTTGACTGAGAACCTAATACATTCCGTGATTTTACTGCATATCTCTTCCAGCATAAAAATTATTAATGTTCTAGCTAGGAGTGAAAATAAGAACTTAGCCTGAAATGACACAAACAAACTGTACAACTGTTAAAGTAAGAATGACTTCAGAGTGCAGACCTAGTTTTTCATCAAGGAGACTAAATGATTGACCAATAAATTAATGTAATTAATACTAATGGTTTCAGGAGAAAATAGATTAAACTAATATGACCTTGGGTTTGGGATCCTTAAAGAAGTTATTTGCCATCCAACTTGAAGCCCCATCAAAGTAGAATGTAGTACTTCCTTTAAGCATTTCCTCAAAGCCTTTTGCATGGTATTTTCTTGAGATGTCTCCAATCTCCGTGTAGATAGCAAGCACATTATTGAGCAAAGCACGATCAATGTGCTCTCCAGCATGTTCCCTATCAGTCTGGCACATTCATTTTGATTACCAGGTCATGGAAATGTTTCAAAAGATAAATCTGACATGTGGAAGTAATAGTGCAACATCCTTTATTTATTAGATACTGTTAAGTCATGATACTAGGAAAGAAGCCAAAAAGAGATTGTTGAACCAAAATTATAAGTTATTGTGTTTTCCAAAAAATCTAAAATTTCCATTGCGTATCAAACTTAGCAAGCATGAAAAATAGTCAAAGTCAAGAATCCTTTTTGTTTGCCAACAAAACCATTATAACCCCATTGATCAACACTGGGGAAAAAGGAAATTGAAATGAACTCATAGCAAAGTGTCGGTTAGGTTAACTGGTTTCCTTTGGTCAAATTTCAAGACTGTTTTTGAAATCTAGTGGAGGAGAGCGCAGGAAAGGGAGAAAAACAAATGTTGAATAAAAGTGGATTCCATGAAAGGAACCAGAGAATTAATTAGAAAAAAAAACAGAGATTCGTCATATAAATCAAGTAGACAGATTACAAGCTCCAGGAATTGAAAGAAATAAGCTGACCCAGAAATGAACCAAACAAAAATAAGAACGAAAATGATATTTTTGCATTTCAAGACTGCAAGACATCTCCACCATAAAAAAACCCAGATTCTGTTCATCACCTCTTCCATATCCGTTTTTAATTCACATTTTCCTCATGCCTCTCACCCCTCCTAGATATATCTCCAGGCAATTATCCATGACTACATTATTTTGTCCTTGCCCCAAAATTCCCTCAGCAATACCATATTCCCCTCTAACTCATCTGCTTTGATTTGATGATCAGTTAGAAATTATACGGGGAATACCACTTGTCTATGTCATTCCAATTTCACCGGATGTACCCAAAGGGTCGGAGAATGCTACTTTGCTAAGCAGCAAATTTAATCCACTGAGGATAAAAGTGAAGACTACAGGCTGAAAATGGAGACAGCATGGTGAATTCAAAGATGAATAAAGTGCATAAATTTTCAAAGAGAAAATACACAATATATTAAGGGAGGTGGGAGAGATATACCATATATAATACAGCACCCACTATCTGCTTATTCATCTCTCCATAAACCTGAAACAAGGAGGTAAGGTTTTGGATAAGATTTCAGAGAATAACAGAATAAGATGTAGAGTATATTTGTTCAAATAATTTCATCACCAACCAAGTCGTGGAAGGACAATAAACTACTTTCTTCAAGAGATGGAAGTCCCCATCTAGGGATGTAGTATCTGTTAAGATAATTAAAAAATCTTGAAAGCCACCAAGTCATGATTTTATGATTTGACCATCTTCTAAGCAGTCCTACTAACAAGTCTTCATCTTCCTTTACTCTCAAAGATGGTAGAACCTGGTAAAAGAAAAAGAATTAGACCCCAAGTGTACGATCATATCAGCAATAATGTCTGTACTATTGGCCTTCCATATTTGGGCAAAATTTTATGATTGATGTAAGCAAGCAACTGTACAGATTAATAATCCCAAGACTAGACTTACAGTGGAATTGATGTATTCGTCGAAAACCTTTTTATACTGATCATAGAGCATCTTAGAGTTTTTCTCACCCTGGCGGTCTGTACACAATTCATATACAATTCTGGATACTTGAGTTAAGACAAAAAAGAAAGGCGAGTAATTCTGAGGACATCAGATTCCATGTAAAATTGCTACTTTCAAGACTATATAACAGGAGGAATACAAGGCTATTACACTGGCACTTATAATTCATAGATAATTAAATCTTGCTGAAATCATATCAAAACTTCATATAACTTTAACATCCTATATTCCAGCTCTGACTACTATAGAATGGGATTCAGTCATAAAGTCCTACCAAAAGACTGCTTCATGATATTTCTTTCCTTCCTTGTAAACCTCAGTTTTATATTGTTTTGTTTTATTTAAATGGTGCAAAAGACTAAAGAGGAGGAATTAAACATGCATTCAATATCAAAGCAAGTCATCATGAAATGAGATGGCAAAAAAACATTACAGGCCAGCAGAGAAGATGTACAGAGAACTATTCAGCATCAAATACTAATAGGCTTACCCAATTACTCTTCTATGCAAGAAACAAGCCACGCTGATGGTCATGAATGTAAAAATTTAAAAAGAAATAGGGAACTAAAAATGTGTAAGCCCTGGCTTAAGTGTTGAAGGGTTGAAGCTCTCATTCAAATGAAAACTAATTACCATCAAGAATGCTTTCATCCAACAAGAAATAGAATGATGTATTCAGACCAGGTAACTTTAAAAGTTTTTACAAAAACAGAGAATTCATATTCCATACATCATTTTTTTTTTTTTAATTAAACGGATAAGCACCAACAGCTTGATGTTATGAGCAAGATTAAACCCGTAACCTCCCATTTACAAAAGATGGGTATAAGCTCATTGGTTATTCAATACATTAATTTAATTTAGATTAAAATCTAACACTTCAAACCCATATTCTATGCTTGAGTTGAAGAAATGGATGAGAAGGGAGTAGAATCATGCATCTAAATGAAAACTTTTCCCCCTTCCCTTTTCCTCCATTCTCGGCAATCCAAACATAAAACAGGGTTCTGTTGTTTCTGCCCCAACACCACCACAACCTATACACGGACGGATAAGTAGAATTTGCTTTTTCAATCAAGTGATGCCAGAACATTTGGCAGAAAAGAACCCAAACGCCAAAATTATAACATACTGAAGAACTTAAAAGCACTAGAAACTCCAACAAGAAAGAAAGCAACACAACAGAAAAAGCCATAACCGTCAACAATTGAATAATCATGAAAGTCAAAGCACAATAAAAACCCAGCAATAACAAACGAAACAGGAAGGATACGTATAATAAAACATGTAGTCGTCAGGAGTGAAGCTAGAATTATCAAACCCTTCAATTTGTCTAATCACTCTGTCCACAGCGGTCTGAAGCCGAGGCCATTCGTCCCTGAAAGTCTTACTCTTACTAGGGTTACTGCACCTATCAGCGTCGGGATTTACAGGGTCAGACGCAGAAGCTACAGCGAAAAGGTTGAGATGAAGCAGGAATAGAGAGAGAAGCACCAAACGCTGCGAGAGAAGGGCATTCATGGCGGCGGTGATGATTAATGAGGGAGCAAGAGCAGGTATTCTTTTTTATCAACTAGCAGCAATGGAGTATTGACCATCTTATTTTTCTTGTCATCATTTCTGGTATATCGTTGACTTATAAAATGGAATTTGAATAACAGGGACTTCTTTTTATTTACAGTTTGACTAGTAATAATTCAAAATTATACTCACTGTTCTTTTGACCTGGAAAGTCGTCGTCTTACCATATTTGTTCTGCCGTACATTGTGCTTAACATGGCAACAAGATCATGATGCTCTGTTTCAAAGTCATGTCAATGGTTTGGATCATGCGAGACACAATCGGAATGATGAGGGGGAAAGTATTCAAATTGAATATACATGCGCACACATATATCTGTGTGTGTGTGTATGTATGGAGAATCGCAAAGAAGGGATATCATGGGATTAAATTTTGTAAAGATGCATGAGTTCCGAGTAAGTCGATTGACCTCTGCAACTGCAATTTTTAAGGCAACAAAACACACACACTCGCATATATATATTTCGAGTTTGAAATCATTAATTCACTTAATACAGCCTTTTTAGAAGTTGAGTTAGATGCTAAGCTTGGCCAAATTCGACTTTTCCTTTGTGCCTAGAGAAGTAAGCTAGGGTTGAATTATAAATTTTGCACGTATGAATCATGAATTTTGCACATTTTAATCCTTTCATTAAAAAAAAAAAAAAGTAGTTACATAAAAGCAAAGACTGTCATTTAGCGGGTTTCATGTATGTCCAATAAAAAAGACAAATCATTTACAACATGACGAATTAATATTTAAATTTTATTAAAAGAACTGTTCATATTTAATATTATATGTTACTTTGAATAGGATATATATATCTGTGAAACTGATGATTAAGTCACTTATGATTAGAAATTTTTAGTTGGGTCAATATATCTATTGTATAGATGGAAGTCTCTAATCTTGAATACTCCCCAAACATTTATGACATGCTAATATGTGTAAGTGGCATACTACTTAAGTGCTTGCTTAGTTTATTTTGCCCTCTTATATACATGTATGCATTCTTGGTTCCATGGCCTTATGTGTTAGAAAGAAAGAAAGAATTTTTTTTTTGGGGGGGGGGGGAATAGGAGCTCGTGAATATTTTATTTCAAAATTTATTAATAATTATGTCTTCTGTTGTTTACGCAACATATTAACTTTTTTCCTTTTACATGTATATATTTAGTCACTTTGAAAGAAAAATGTATATATTTAGTCACATTTGGAAGGAAGAAGACATTAGCTTGTTCATGATCAAAGTCTAATTATAAAGGACCATTAATAAAGTCTTTTTACTAGAAATCAGAAAAAGTATATACTTCCTTATACTTGAGATTATTATTTACCTGCAAAAAGAACGGCATTGTGAATTTTAGTAACATAAAAAATATAAAATATAAATATCTTTTTTATTGGAAAAATTAGTCAGCATGCAAGCCCCTGTTATATATTTAATTATTTTTTTATATTTTTTAACTTGTTCTACGGTTTTTTAATATGGACTCCCTCATTTTCCTATTAAAAAAAAAAGGTTGCAATGCCGACAAGCATCCGTTATTAAATTCACCCGACCCGAGATCTTGATTCCACCCATGACATTATTGACTAGTCAAACCTACTGATATTGCAGGCAAAGTTAGTTAATATACAGAGAACAGTTAGCTTATTTTTTCAAAAGATTATACAGGCGTTATATATGATTTAAGGTAAAACCAATTAAATTGGACAGATTTCCAGATTATGTCCTGCTTAAGCACACACCCCCACTAATTTATAGATGTGAAGCTTAAGGTTATTACAAGGGATAATTTTTAAAAAAAGTTAAGATACAAATTCGTCTTAAAATTTTTCATTTAGAAAGCTGGGCGTCCTAAAGTTTTTTGGGATGTAAATTTGTATTGAGAGTTTAAAATCGTAGCAATATTATTCTCTATAGTTAAAAATATTAATGGTCAACATTTAATTGTCAACGTTAGCTTTTTAATGTATGAAGTAATATTGTTACAATTTTAAACTTTTAAGATGAATTTACACAAGAAAAAAAAACTTCAAGTACCCAACACTCTTTAGGGTCTGTTTGGTATGAAAAAAATGAAAGGAAGGGAAGGAAGAAAAAATGTTAATGAATTTTATTTAAAAAATTCAAAGAAATGGAGTTAAAAGTTTTTAATTAATTTTTATTCTTTTTTTATATTATTTCTTCTCTTTATTAAAATTTTGAAACACCATTTCTCTAATTTTTTAAATAAGACTTATTAAAATTTTTCCTCCCCTTCTCTTTCTTCTATTTCCCTCTGACCGAACAGCAGTACCTTCTCTTAATGTAAACTTTTGCCTTGACCCTTTTGCAAATTTCTGATATGTGTTATGTGAGAGATTAAATTTGTTAAAATTGATAGGCAGAGAATGAAGCACGTGCGTGCCAACAGCAGGAAGCCTGAGAATGTATGTGGCATGCGTTGGAGGGCAACCAATTGCTTGGCTTACACATGACCCATCGCACCTCATGCTTCTTCCCTCCTCTTATTCAATACTTACTCCGTACTTCTTTTATTAATATATTATTAATATTAATTAATGATGTTCTTTATTATCTGATAATTTAATTATCTGTCTTACAGGACTGTCAGTTGAAAAGATCACTGTGGATATGTATGAGTGTTGTTAGAAAGTCAAAGAGATATTGGTCAATTGTAATGAACTCACCAATGTATAATATTCCTCTGATCCTAAATACATAACTCGTTTTATAGTGTAAATTACACTGCAAATTGGATTTTATATCTAGGACTGAAGGAATATATCGAAACAATAATATTGGTTAAGTTTAATGAAGAAAAAAACTAATTCTTTTGAAAAATAAGATCAAGAATTTGAACATTATAAATGGAAAAAAAGCCGTCACAGAGTTGACCCGAAGAGATTCAATGATTTGATGATGCTCATATCAGAAAATTGGATTGGATAATTATTATTTCTCCTATTAAGTTATTATATGGCTTTTTTCTATTTAGTTTCAATATTATTAAGTTTCGGCCCAGAAAAATTTACATCATGATTCATGACTGTGATATATTATATTGTTTATTTTAGGTATTATGTTTTCCTTTTCAATACATATGATTGTGAAAAATCTAACTTAATATAAGTTTAATAAATCAGATTATCCATCTGTGATTCTGATTGATCCATGTGCACGATTTTTGTCCTTGATTTTTGCTGGCCAAATAAAAGAAAGATTAAACAGATTTTGATTTAACCAATGCATGCACATGTAAGAACAGTAGTCTAGTCCAATACAATTCTTCAAAAGGCCACAAGAACAAGACATTTTTCAATGGAGGAAACCCTAACTATTGATTTAAGGCACATTTAGAAATTACCCTAGTATAATCAATCTTTTTTTAAATTATCAATCTCAAACTATGCCCGGAGCTAGAGAGATATGGTAGCCTAGCTGGCTAGGTACAATGCATTTTCTTTTTCAACAGCATATTGAAAAATAATAACTTAAGATGGTGAATAGTTTTCTAAGAGATAAAATCGTATACTACCTCTTGTATTTAATATAAGAGCTAGTTAAAAATTCAATTTAATCTTAAATATAAGATATCGATCCACTTTATTATCTCCAACATTTATTCATTTTACCCCCAAATAATTTCCACAGTAATTTCACATGTTAAAAAATTTTCATCAAGAGGTAATTTTAATACATATAATTAATAGAGATTTTTTTTCAAAGATAATATTCATTTATTACAAATAAACAACTTAACTATTTTTTTTAAATATCTAAAAATTAACTATCTAACTTATATCATATAAGAGGTAGATACGAGGACAAACGAAACGTGCTCTTAGTGAAAGTAATTAAGGAGTTATATATGTGTGCATTGAATCTTGAAAAGCATAAATTCTCATAATTTTCTATTCAATTTTACTCTTTTGGCTTACCTGTGGACAACACTAATTTAAGTACAATACTATAATATAAGATAACATGCGGTCCCCTCAAGCCCTAAAAAAAAATTTTGGGCTAACAGTACAAAACCCTAGTCATTAGATTTACTATTCAACGTCACTGAGGGTACTAATTGATTATTTGAACCTAATTAATAATTCACAATGTGAAGAGAAACCCTAGAAAGCGACTTTGATACCAATTTGCATAGTGACGGCGACAATAAATGTTTAATATATTACTGATCGGAATAGACCTACTTAGACTAGAACAATAAGAATCGACAAGAATCTAACTAATTAATAAACATGAAACTAAGTAGATTCTAATATCATGGGTACAAGATTAAAAGACCCAACTCCAAACATCGATGTTGTAGGATATGCAATGTAAGGTAGAAAAATTCATAGAAAAAATTGACGAGTTCTCAACACAAGTGGAAGATTTAGCAGATTTTCTGAGAAATTAAACTCAGATCAAACTGAACACGAGCTCGTGGACTTCTCTTTGATATTCAGTAACTTCAAGTTCAAGGAGACACAATATGAAACTAAAAACATCGATCTTGAAATACATCTACAATAGAATTCATGGAAAATCACGGTAAGTTCTCAATACAAAAATGGAAGATTTAGCAGATAACTTTTTAAGGAAACTCAGATCAAACTGAACAAGACTTTCAAACAAATTAAAAGAAAACTGAAACCCAGTGTCGTGAACTTTCCTTGAGATGAGTCCTATCCATTGATGATAATTGCTGATGCATTAAGAGCTTTTTCTTAACAAAGCGAACTACTACTTTAATTTTCTCAGGAGATCGATCGAACAACTTAGAAGATTGTTCAACCAAAGAGCTTGATCATGTCATGCGTCCGAGGATATAATATAAGTTCATTGATTGAAACACAAAAGAAGCAGACAAACTGATAACTGATCCAAGATTCGTTGGTTTAATGTTCAGAAACAAACAAAAAACATGCAAATTGCGAAGATTAATAATATGAATATAAAGAGAGAACTAGAGTAGTACACGGAGTTGGACATCGATATATCAGAAAAGCTCCAGCTCCTAATTCTATATCTTCTTAATGATGATGATGATGATTAGAATTATTGGCTCGTTGATCTACCTCAAGCTCTCTATATCTATGCAAGTAGCTTTTAAGTGGCTCTGCGTAATCATCAAACCCTAGGGTTTTCAGGGCCCAACATATATCATCGCCATTAACGGTCTTCCTCCTCTCTTTTCTGCACTTATCAGATGCCTCGCCGGTGACGAAGCTTATGAACTCCGACGCACATTCCTGCATCGTCTCCTTCGCTTCCTTGGAGATCTTGGCGTTCTGCGGCAAAATTTGCTTCATAATCCGACCAACATTAGCTATTGGCAACAACCTGTCTTGTTCTTTCACAATCCCACCATTACTACTTCTGTCAACAACATTGATTGATGATGAGGAACTTCCTCCCAGGTTATCCTCCATTATTTTTGATTTCCCAGGAACAAAAGCTACTTTACTTCCCAGCTTTTGACTAAGACTCAGTCAGATGATCATGATCGGACCTCTTATATATATATATATATATATCGACACTTTTAATATGACTACTTGTTCATCAGCTTACTAGTGTGATAAAAAGTCTCAAAAGTGAATTCATATTATATATACTGAGAGGAGAAGAAGGGAGGTGGGGGGAAGAAGCTGTGAGAGACTTGGGGTTTGGATCTTCTTCATTCACTATTTCCGTACCTTTATACACATTTAATCTTATCCGTTCATTTAATTGTTTATTTGATTTAACGATGTAAGATTGTTAATTATGACATTAAACAAAACATGCTCCGGTACTCATTTAACTACAACTACAGTACTACAGTAGAAAAGATTATGATCTTACTTTCAAAGTGCTTAACAGTAGAAACCGAAATATCTAACAAACTTAAATTTCATTAATTTTATCTTAAAATTTAAAATAATAATCTATGTGATAATAAATAAAAGGTGAAAATAATACATTCATATTAAAAATTTAATAGTGTGACTTATAAATAATGAAAAAAAATTTTTTTCTCTACTTTAGGAATAAGATGAAAAGAGGATAATTTTTCTCAAGCATTGTCTCATATTTTGAATGCTATATAAGAATTAGGAGGTTAAACTTATAATTGATTAAGATTAAAATGAACATTTTTTTTAAATTTTAATTCATGTGTAGGCAATAATTTTAACCGTTATAAAGGTTAGGAAGGTCATTTACATATAATAATCCAAGCAAGTTCTGTACAATATAAAATTGGAACGCAATGAGCATAGAGTCTCGTGTTTAAAGAGATGATTGGATGTTTTAAGTGTGAGGAGTCTAAATTGCACTTTGCTTTTGGGAGGTGGATTATGAATCAAACTCACTTTTCTGGGAGAGATCATAAATTAGGGAAATAGTGGAAATTAAAGCAAAAGCTGCAAATAAAATTATGAATAAAATATGTTTAGAGAATGATTACGTCATTCCATACGACAGCATCATGATTTTAGGTTAATGTAAGAAGTTTTATAAAAGATCGTACTATGTTAATACTCCTCCGTTATTTAATATAAGACCCATTTAACTAATTTGGTTAAATTAAGGAAGTTAAGTAAGTTAGTTAATTATAAAAAAATATGACATGTTTTTTCTAAAATACTATAATCATCTTTCTTAATACCCCTTCTTTCACTTCTACTTGATTATTGATAAGGGAGTATTTATAAGGGTAATTTAGAAAAAATTAATAAATATGATATATGGGTTTTATATTTAGAACCAAAATCAACTCAACAATTAGGTCCTATATTAAGGACCAGAGGAGTAATAGATTTTCAATTATTGAAACCTCTTAAATTTAAAATTTCATATTCTAAATGATTTAGGGGGAAAAAACCACTTGAAGCTGATGATGCCTTCCTACAGAAAACACCAAATTTTCTGCTTAGTACTTAAAAATGTGTAGAGTATTCTTTTTTTATGAATAAATATTTTAATAATTTAAGGTTCTTCGTTGTAATTTTTCGCGAATATATAAATATTGTCCAACTTTGGTGGGACTGAAGGAATTATGAAATTTAATTATTGATCCGTACATGTAATTAACATATACAAGTCCAATTGTTAATGAGTTCCGAGGTTGTTGGGATTTCCCACTTTTAGGTGCCCACTAAACTCCCGTTTGGTCTTACATTTTAATTTTAATTTAGAATAATTATCGCTTATAATAATAATAATAATAATAATAATAATAATAATAATAATCCAGCACCAAGCAACAATAATTTTGTCGTTAATCAATCGCTTTGTTCTTTTCTGGCGAATGGTGATATATATAAAAATATTTGAGGACATCAACCTTTTGATCCCAATCCTCAGACTCTAACAACCCTGTGAGCAACTCAATTCTTATAATTTTAATCAATTGAAATTTTTAGTTCCTAAACTTCATAAGATATATAATTTTATTTTTTAAGAGACGGGACTAATATTTTAAATGGTTAAATTATAGGACGGGATTGTAAAACTCAGAGATTGAGTTATAATCAAGTTAAAATTATAAGAATTAACTTGTATCAAAGTTAAAGTTTAGGAACTTTCAAAATTATAAAAATAAAGTGATCAACTTTCTCAACATATCTTTATGCTTTAGAAGATGGAACAAGTAGATAGGTCACCGAAAGTTTAATAAATAAATAATCGATAATTCTATCATCCCTATGAACCTTATTTAAAAAAAAAAAAAAGTTGACTTCATAATTCAAACGAAATCCTAACTGGGCAAAACTAACATATCAGCATTTGGGTATCAATAATAATTCGGTGTGCAATTAATTATTTAAGTGGTCCAGTTTAATTACTGTGATGGTTGAGACAGAAATTTGGTGAAAAAGCAACCAAACCTTGTTTTTTATGTTTGGGGGAAGGGAAGTAAACCGGATTGTCGGCTATGGCTATAATTATAAAAATATTCCACCAAAAAAATAAATAATACTCTACTATCTATTTTCAAAAAATTAACTATTATTTATTAGACGAATTTCCACTTGCAGTTTTTATATGGTCCGGTTTAATTTTTTAATTAAGTAGCTAAGAATTTTTTTTTTGGACTCAAGTAGCTAAGAAGTGATTATAATTAGATTGCTTTCTTACAGTTTTTATCCATATATCGTTATTTTCGAACTACTCTCTCCTTCAATTGTCTCGCTCTTATTTTAGGATGATAATTTTGGCTTGAATCAACAATTTAATGTGAGCATCATATGGATATAAACAAAATATCTTAAAATAGCTATCTCATTAATAATTAATAATTTACATCAAATCATTACTGAATTTGAATTAGTTAATAATATTAAATATTATTTTCTCCATAAATTGATCTTTATTATACGGATTTTTTTTTGTTCAACATAAACATCCTCCTATTAAAAGCTTATTCAAAGTACTGCCAGGTTAAGATATTTCTTCCAATAAAAATTTGAGCTTTAGATTATCATGCTGTGAGAAACCAGTTAGCTTATCCTATTGGACCAAAACTTATTATGTGGATTTCTACAACCTATTTAAATTTCTTCATAAATGCCATTAAATTCATTTAGGATAATTTTAGAAATTTAAAAGCAATATCAAATTTTAAATTAACCCTCTAATTTATAAAAAAGAGTTTATTAATTGATCTTTATTATAATAAGAATCAAAGATGGCGCGTGTTTGCCAAAAAAAAGAGAACCAGTTGGGAATAGTGGAAATAATAATCCATAGAAAAACAAAATGATTTGGAATCAAATCAACGCGTGCAAACAACACAACTAATTTCAATTAAAATGATTTGGAATTGGAGTCAATAGAAAAGACAAAATAATTAAAGCAATATGTCAATTTGTCAACAGCATGTACTTGTAATAGCAACCAATTTAATTTAATTTAATATTTTAAATTAGAGTAATCCCGAATAAGGGATATTCCGGGCATCTAAAGGATTACATGGATGGATGAGTCATGAGTAGGATTTTAATATATGTGAATGGAGGCGGATATTTTTGTAATTTGCTGCATTTGAATCTTTTGAGACCACTCTTCTCCCTGCACATGAAAGATCTAGTCCTAATTCTTTCCAAGTTTAATTATCCGATAATTAGGTACAATGAATAAAGATTAAGTGGGTTAATTATTTATTAAAAAAAGTATGTGTTTATTTTCATAAAATACGACTTTATAATATATATATTGAAGTACTAATATCAACATAATATATACATCCTATAAGAATATAATTATAGGGATAGGTTGAAAAAAAGTAACAAAGATAGGAGACAACAGAACATGGAGATTAAAATTTATATTTAGGTTCAGAACAAATTTTTTTAACTAATTATTATATTTAAGATTAAAAAAAGTAGATTATTCACTATTGATATATGGACAGGACTGTTGGCCAAAAGAAAAAAGTATACATTGACAACACCAAGCACAGAGGTTAGGATATACTAATATAATTTAAAAATCAAAGCAAAAAGAATAGCTATCAATTAGTGAAGTTTCTAAGAGTAATTTATTGTACAAATCAATACTTTATGTTTAAGTTTCGAGCAACTTGGATTAGCAATAAAAAAATATATTTTCAACCTGATTTTCAAAAAAGTCAGATTGAATAAAAATTCAATTGAGTAATGTGATTTATATTTGGACTAATTTTTGTAAAAATTAGTTTGTAAAATAAAAAACTGTTTCAATTATGATTGAATAAGTCAATCTAGTTTGTACAATGACTAAAATACGTATGACTTTTATTAAATAATAAAAAATAATTAAAATATAAATTTACAAAATATAATAATTTTAAATTATTTAATAGAAAAAAGTTATATTTAATGAATAAAACATAGTTAAATTAGAAATCATAATAATATGAAAATTTTTGAACCAACTAATATTACATAATTAATTGGATGGTATACTTTGCATAATTTATGTAAATATAAAATAAAAATAACATTAAAATAAAAAATATTTTAAAACTATTAAAAATTATTTTCACTTAAAAGAATATTAAAAATAAATAACCAAAAACTAGTTGAGAAATACAAAGAATATATAGAGAAAAGCATAAGAACAACATAAATATAAGACAACAATGTCTTTTAATTTCAAAAAGCTACTTTTGCGTAAAGTTATAAGTAAATTTTAGATGTTTTTGCAATTATGCTTTAAAAAATAATTTTGAATTCATAAGTCAGATTAGCCAAAAATTGTGACAAATAACTCCCAAATTTACAAACTAACTTATCACATCTATAAGCTATTTTTCCCCCTTGAAAACGCCTTACCAAACAGGCCGATAGATTTCATGCTCATGATGATTCTTATGTACAAAACACCAGTACTAGACTTTTTATCCAATTGAAATTCAAACCTTAATTGCCCACTCATTAGTTAGTTATTTGTTTATTATATATTGATGTCATGTTAATCTAAAGTTTTACATATTTTCTTACTTATAGCTTATAATCTTAAATAAAACTGATGTTAATTACTTATAAACTATTTAATTTGTAATAAACTTCATATCATACTACCTTTATATTAATTTTTTCGTTCACTCATGACTGTTGCTCCTCTCCAGTCCCAAAGTTATAACGTTATTTCTCTGTGTGTGTGTGTGTGTGTTGATTTGCCAATGCATTTACAACGTTATTCGAACCTAGGACACTGAAAGATATCATACATTATTTTCACCTAACTAGCATTTCATTTGAACATGAGGATTAATGCATGTTGGAAGATAATGGCATAATGCCATGGAGGCTTACTGACAATTCTGCAATGCCTGCATTAGCATTCTAGAACCAAAGTCTGTTTATTTTTCCCATTCAAATATCTCTGAAGGTACATTTTACAAATCCAACATTTTTGCCAAACACGTGGTTTAACAATCTTTTGAACAAGAATTTGAAGGTTTTCAGGATGCATTAACAGGAACAGCACACTTTCATCTGTTGCATGTCTCAAAAGTAAGAACCAAAAAAAAAAAAAAACTTTTTCAATCAACCTGGATGGCATAATTATATATTACTATAAACGAGGCTTATAATTAGAATTGAGGTAGAACATACATATGGTTTCTTTTTGACGCTGATCCTAAATATTATAGAGGATCAAAATCAGGGAGGAAAATATATCATATTAACTAGTAACTTCGGTTTCATATCAAGTGGGTATAAAATAGTTTTTATTCATGTCAGGATAACCATATATTAGGAAAACATGTTGCAGAAGAACATGAATAGCCTGCCATTGCATAGGTGACTGCAAAATTGCTAAATAAGTACGGTTCGCATTATATCTGTGAACAAGCTGTACAGAAACTAAATCATAGTAATTAATCATGTATAGGTGTGATTAGAATAAGAGACATCATTGTATCAAAAAAATAGAAAAGGAAAAAGAGATAACATGCAGAATACATGTTCATTCCAACAACAATAACTTTAAAAGGTTTGGAAAAGAAAGGCCCTCCATAACAGTTTTATAAAGATTTTTCGGAAGTATCTGGGTCTTACATTGTATAGTATGGGACGCCTCAGACTCCCAAGAAACCTGGAGGTTCCATCTTCCTCACAGAGTCGTTCTTTTGTGAGATTCCACAGTTGTAAAAGGGCCCCGACTGAGCAGCTTGCTCGATCACAGACAACAGCCAATGTTAAGTGAAAAAAGATCTGAATTTGTACATTTATAATAAGCACCTCCATGCTCTTCAAGAATATCCGTAAATTCCATCTGAAAGCTCAGCCTGATTAGAAGACGAAGTTAGAGCTGAGCCATCATGGCCTAAGAAATATTTGAAGCTTTGCACAGCAATTAAAATGACCCTGCAAATCACAATCGAGTGTTTCTTTAGTGATGATTTCAGACCTTACTAATCAATATGGCATAAGGATATAGCCTATTTTTCCTGCTTAGTTCTGTCCTTGAGATGATTTTCCTACCTTGCAGCGAGAAGGAAAATGACAGAGGAAACATATTAAAACAGTACATGGTCGCCAACGGATCTCAAGGTCATTTGTCGAGGTGTGGAGATAAAAAAGTTAGAATTTTGATAAAACGGAATATGGAGTCCTCATCCCAGCAACATGTCTTGAACTTCTTATCTTTACAGGTGAAGTTGACACTTGACAATATTCAAACTTCTCGCTATGTGAAATTATGAATAAATACCTCATGGTTCCAAGAGATAATCACAATTAAATGGGAATTTGCTTCAGGTACAAAAAGATATTGTTAACTTTCGCTTTCATGCCAATCCACTTCAGGTATTACTTCTGAACAACACCAGAATTAAGGGATGCAAAGTTCATTATTTATTAAATCAAGGAAGGAGAGTTGAAAAAAATTGCTCACAAAAGTATTCTGCACCCGAAGCACCTACTTCCAAGGTATAAGATATTACTAATATTGATTTGCATAAAAACAGAGGTCCAATTTAGCAAATGAACCAAGTCAGTAAAATTAGTTGAATCCCAATTCAAAGAAGGCAAGTACTTCAGTGGTAAGGAGAAACAAAATGGGGATGACTTACAGAAGTTTAAAATTTCAAAATTTCATGAAAATGAATCCCATCATTCTTCAAATTTTCTCTATATAGCTTCGATAGATGATGATTATGCTCGTCAAAATGTTTCACAAATCTTTCCAAGAACTGCTCTTCAGATATAGTAAATGGCGTAACCAAGTTAGCATCCTTTTTTATCAACCCTTTGGACTTCAGATAATGTAAAACGGAAGCCCTCGGGATAATCCTTCTCTTCAAGCTATATCCAAACATATGTGGTCTTTTGACAAGAAGCAAAGGATTCCAACCCAAATGGTTACTCCAAAAACTCATAACTGCATCAATTTTATCCTCGGATGCTAACATACAATGCGGCTGCTTCCTAAATGCTTCTGACCATTCTTCTTCTGACCATCCCCATCTCTTGTAGACATCAACTTTTGCTTCCCAGCGGGACCTACTTAAAGTCGTTTTGGCTACCAATGCAACACTAAATGCTATGTTCAGAGGATTAAATCCCAAACATTTAACTTCCTCTATCGCCTTTGTAAGGAGATCAGGGCAGTGCAGCACACGAGGCCTCCTTCTGAGTATGAGAGCAACGTTTGTTCTTGACACTCCATTATTAAGCAACAAGTTAATACATTGTATCACTCGAGTGTCATAAAGCACATCTGGATAGCCTTTTATACATGAAATGGTGGTTTTATCATTTTGAAGAAACCCTGTTAACATCTCATATGATGGGATTATGTGATTCTCTAAGCTTCTCATCAAGAATCTAGGTGTCCTTAGCACCATGGAGTTAAGGTCGGAGGTAGTAGCACCTTTTGAGAGGAAAAATTCAAACTTCGGCAGAATATTATTTTGGGGATCGCACACAAGAAGCCACGGATCCCTTCTAATGACATCTTTTATCATTGACTTAGTGAAGCCGTGGCTTTCAAAGAAGATGACAACTGAATCTGGCTTTCGCGAGGTGTCAAATCGAACTTTCTTGGAAGCATCTAAAGCAGCTTCTTGGGAAAACCCTAACCTGTTAATGAGGTATGATACAGTAAACAAGCGCTCATCTGGAGAAGCGCTTGTGCGGTATTTGAGAGAGAATGTGAGTGAAGGGTAGTGTTGTAAGAGACGAAAGCATCGCGAGGTTGGTGACGTTCTGAGAATACCCTTCAGGCATAGAAGAAGTGGTTTGAGGCGTTGGGGATTAAACATGAGCTTCAGATTAATAGGGATCTTACAGTGATATTGGAAGACTTGGAATTTCTTAGAGGGTGCGTTTCAAAGGCCTGTTTCCAGTCTCGAGCGAGCTATCTGAAGAGATTGATGCATTCCCAGCATTCTTCGAAGTTAATGAGCATTTTCGTTCCTCCAAGATGCACGCAGAAATGTAGGAAGCTCAAGGGAAGTTCTTTTTTTTTTTTTTTTTGGTTTTTGACAAATACCTGAAGCCAATTACGGTATTGGGATCCAAACCATGATTTATGGTTTGGGTGAAAAATTTGCCAAACAGGAAGAAAAATCAGAATCTATTCTACTTGTGAGTCAAATGTGCTTGTCAGAATAGATCCCAACAATAATATAACTTTAAAACTTCAATTATTTTTTTATAAACATATTTAATCTTATATCTTATAAATATATACACATATTAATTATTTATTAATTATATTATCTTATATATTATTAATTATGTTGGAAAAAATATATTATTAATAATTTTATTCTTTCAAATTAAAATATATTCTAAAATTTATCTTTCATGTAATTATCATATTAACTTATGTCCTTTTTAGTAATTTGTATATATGAAAAATGTTTCTAATAACAATTATCCAAATACTCTCACTTTATCATAATTACTTTTTCACAAAATATATTCTTCACAAAATTTATTCTCTCAAAATCTATTTTCCAGAAGCTATTCTCCAAATTATGGTTTGGTTTCATCCAAACACCCCCTTAATCCAAGACTGGGATCCTTACAAAAGACCAACAAAACAACACAAGACCTAGTTTTCTCTATCAACCTCCCCTTCAACAATAGGAGGTGTTTGATTTAGGATACAAAAGTTGCTCTTCATGGAATGAAAGAATTTGGCTAGATGATCGGCAATGGGAACTGACTCCCTAAAAATATGAATTGGCACAACTTTTCAGTCCCTGTGAAGTAAAAATCTAACATCACCAATATGCTTGAACGGATATGTATTTTAACAGCCTCTATAGATCATAGACAAGGTTTCCACACAATTAGTATATATTGCTATATTCCTGTAACGTCTGTCCCAACAAAGTTGTAGACCATGAAGTATGCCAAGTAGTTCTGCAATTGCTGGTGGCACAGAGGTAAGTTTACAACTAAATCCCACTAGCCATTGGTCATAACTGCTCCAAACAGCCCCTCCATAGCCACTTCTGCCATCCTGTAAGACTGAACCATCTACTTCTAATTTCACGAAATTATCTTGGATATGGGGTGTGTAGTATTTTCCTGGTCGGAGGCTAGAGTAAAACTTGCAATTCATCATCAAATTTGTATCCCAACAGGCTCTAAAGAAATTGGCATGCGCATTTGAGTAAGTATCACCTTCTCGTGAATCAAATAGCTTGTTACACCGAGAGGCCCATATATCCCAACATATATCCAAATAGGGTAGCCCAATGATTCTTCTTAGTGTGAGGATAGCCTACCTCTGTAGAGAGATCCTATTTGATCCATTCTGAACCTTGCAAGGAGCAAAAAGTAGGCCATAAATGCGGATCAACTACTGACTTCCATCTTTGAGACGTATTGGCGCAACTCCTCAGTAAATACATAGAGTCTTTGTCTTCTTCACATCCGAGAGGGCATGTTGCTGTCGCTACAAGGCCTCTTTTACACCTCAAGGCCGTACTATGAGCTCGACCATAATTGAACAACCACATGAATGAATGAATTTTCTTTGATATTGCCATCTCTAAAGAAGCTTCTAGATGTTGTCCTCTTATCTCTAAGTACCTACAAGGAGAAAATTATAAGCAAATTTAACAGTGAAGCAGTCATCAGTGGATGGCTGCCAAAAGTATTTATCCTCTCCTCTCTCCTCACAGGGTGGGTGTGTGTAAGTGATATGATTCACAACATGGTAAGGGAACCAATAGCATAGCTTTTGTATGTTCCACTCTCCCCTTAATGTCGCATAATCTATCATTCATTCATCCTTATCCACCCATCCTTCATACCCTGGTACTAACTCAATGAGGAGTCTATTTACATCTAACCAATTATCAAACTAGAAGGAAGTAGACATAACATTTCCAATTTTCTTAGCTACTCCACTTTTGAAAGCATTCTAAACCTTACAAATACTCTTCCAAGTCAGGGATTGGTTGGTTGTTCTATTAACAGCTGGAAGCTACATGTCACCACAATTGTACTTGCTTTTTAAGACTTTAACCTAGAGTGATTCACTGTCATGCATCAAGTTCCAGCAAAGTTTCATTATAAAGGCACCATTTTGTTTCCTTAGGTTCTTGATTCCTAAGCCCCCAGCTTTCTTCCATTGAGCAACCTATTCCCATGCCAACAAATGAAGTTTCCTGGTATCATCTTTTTCATCCTAGAGAAAATTTCTACTTGTCTTCTCCAATTTCTTAATCAACTATTTTGGAATCAACATCATCTACATGTGATAGGAAGAAAGGGCAGTTAGGACTGCCTTAATAAGTGTAGCTCTACCAGCAAGGTTCAAATAGGTCCTTTTCCATCCTGAAAGCTTTCAGTGCTTTTTTTTCAAAATTAAGGCAAAGAGGATGTAAGAGGGACTTTTATGTATGATGGGAATGCCCTAGTATTTTCACAAGTCACTAGTTAAAATAACTCTCATCCTCTGACTCAGCTCAAGGGCTTTGGAAATATGAACATTCTTCGAAAAGCAAACTTTTGTTTTATTTTTGTTCATCATCTGTCCCAAGTACTGGAAAAACTTATTAATATAATGGTTCATCACATCCCCCTGATAAGATGAAGCTTCCACAACAAGCACCAAGTCATCAGCAAAGAACAAGTTCGAGAGATAAGGGATGTTTGAGTTAGCTTAGATCAGGGTTCAATGACCTTCTTCAACAGCATCACTAATTATGTGGCTTAGTCTCTCCATACACAGCGTGAAAATTTATAAGGAGATCGTGTCACCTTGTCTAACCCCTTTAGATGAAGTAAAGCTTTTGGTAGCTTTCCCATTCCACAAGACTTAAAATGTCGGACTAGAGATACAAGCCATAACCATATTACAGAGATTTCCCTCAATTCCCACATCTTTCAAGGTATCATAAATGAAACTCCATTCTAGATGATCATAGGCTTTCTCTAAATCGACTTTCACTACTAACCAGCCTCTAGAACCCCTCTTGGTCTTCATGGAGTGAATGACCTCTTGGGCAATGATTATGTTATCACTGCTCTGTCTCCCTGCGATGAAGTTGTATTGATGCCTGCCTACTACTTTACTCATGATTCCCTTAAGCCTTTTACTAATAATTTTTGTCACAATTTTATAGCTGACATTACATAGGGATATCGGTTTGAAGTCTTGAATGGTTAGGAATCAAGACAAGGTTGGTGTTATTGATGGAGTTAATCTTGTTAGGCTCATTGAAAACTTCCCATATCACCTGATAGGTATCTTTTCCAATTACATTCCAGTACTCTTGGTAGAAGAAGGCCTGAATACCATCTAGCCTTAGGGCTTTAAAGGCTCCTAGACCAAAAACCACTTGTCTGATCTCTTCATCTTCCAAGTTTGCTGATAAAATGCCCTGCTCATCGGCTTCTATTATTGGGAATCTCTTTGTTGTCATTAGCTACCCTTAGCGCTGCGAATCTCTGCTGAACAGATCTTTATAGTACTTCAACGCTAATTCTTTTAGAGCATTTTGATCAAACACCCATTCTTCCTGGGGTTCTTTAGGCCTTCAATTCTGTTCTTCTTTCTTCATTTCATAGTAGAGGCATGGAAAAATTTGCTGTTTTTATCACCCCATCTCAACCAGTTGCACCTAGATTTTTGGTACCAGATCAATTCTTCTTGAGGTAACACTTTATTATATTCTTTCCAGGGGTCATTCTCAATTTTAGCCAAGTATTGATTGTCTCTACAGCTTCTTGCTCTTTCTACCCCATCAATTCTTTTCATAAGCCCATACTTCTTACGGGGGATGTTTCCAACTTTCTTTCTATTCCATTTCTCTGCTTTTGTTGTAAAGTTGTTAACCTTTTCTTCCTATCTGCTAGTATTCTAACTTTTCTTCACAACATCAATAAAGTCCTCTTCTAAGACCCAAGCCACTTGACATCTAAATGGGAGGTTTAATTTTCTTGCTTGGAGAAATTGAGCTACTCCTGAGCAACAAAGGTCGATGGTCTGATCCAAACTTCCTAAGATGATGAATCTTAGTAAAAGGGCAAAGATTGAACCAGGAGGGATTGGCAAAGGCCTAATCAATTCTCTCTTTTAGAAGGTTTCTTTCTCAAGTGTACCTGTCCCCAACATAATCGACCCCAATCAAATTTGATTGTCAATGCAGTCAATAAATTGCCTCTTGGAAGGAATATTTGGAGCAGCGCCCCCAATTTTATCATCTACAGTCATATAGGCATTAAAGTCACCAATCATTACCTAGGCACCAGAAATGTTGCTGCTTAACTGAGTCAAGCTGTCCCACAAGGTCTTACGTAATACACAGTTTGATTCCCCATAAACACCGGTAATCCAGTAGGACTGATTTTTTTCCCTTAATATTCACATAAACATGCAGGAGTTAAGTGGTTGAATGAAGGTACTGAATTGAGCAAACATCCTTATTCCAAAGTAACCAAATTCCTCCCGCACAGCCTGTACATTCCAGGCTTATCCATTTATTGAAACTGAATTTACACATAATTCTATCAGCATTATTACCACTGACACTAGCCTCACACAGAACCAAAATATCAATATTATGGCCTCTAGTCATATCTCTCACTCTTCTATGGAAGGTTTTAGAGGCAACGCCTTTGCAGTTCTAGGAGATCATATTCATGATAAAAGATAAAATGAAGAGAGAAGAAGAAGCAGGATTTACAACCTTTAGGTCTCCTGCTCAAGGGAACTTCGATCCTTTGTCATTTTCATCTTTCGTTTCGTCTCTTTATCCCCATTATTTTTTTTTTGGTAGAACTCTTCATCCCTATTATTAAATCAAAAAAATAATGGTTGGATTTAATATGGGAAAAATGTAATAAGGTTTCACCTAAGAGAATTAAATGCAAAAAGGTCCATTGAAATTATCAAATTATTCTGGTCCCAAGGGACCTCATTGCAAAAGATTTTATTTGTTGAATTACCAAAATTGCCCTTATTTTTTTAAGTATACATTGACAACTGAAAGAACAGTCATTAACAACTTAAGATATAACGATTAACAATTATCATGACAGATATTAACAACACATTTTCTCAGCCCATCAAAAAAAATATAATGCATAAGTTGTCAATATCTGTCACAGTAGTTGTTAATCGTTACACCTTAAGTTGTTAAAGAGTGTACTTTGAGTCGTCAATGCATACTTCAAAAAAAAAAAAAGATAAGGATAATTTGGTAAGATCCCTTGAAACTTCATATTAATTTGATAATTTTGAGAGACCTTTTGTATTTAATTCTCTTGTGTAGGACCTTCTTGCAATTTTCCCATTTAATATCTTATGGAATTATAATTATTTTGCGACAAAAAAAAAGAATTATAAATATAAAATCACTATATTCAGTGATTAATATAAGAGCTAATTGACTAATTCAAGTATATTAAAAAAATCAGTTAAGTTAGTTATTTGTAACAAATATGTGTTTTCTTTCATAGAATACCTTTAGCTAAAACTATCATTTGATGAAATTTTTAATATGTGCAACTATTATAAAGACTATCATGAAAAAACATGAATATATATGAAAAACAAAGTGAATTATGATTTTATATTTAAGATTAAATTAAAATTTAAACTAATTTTATATTAAAACTAGGAACTAATATATATAAATAAAATTAAAGTATTAAAATTTGATCTAGTGAGAAGGATGAGATGAAAAGAAGAAGAAAACAGGTAAGAAGAAGGGGAGAAAACAGGTGAGAAGAAGACAGTGAGGTCGCATCTGTGACACTACCGTTTTCTTATAATTTATATACTTTTTATTGTACAGAAATATGTAGATAGCTTAATGGAAAATTTCAAAAAAATAATACTTGAATTTCGAAAACTCCAAAACCCCATTTAAATTTAATTTAACAAACTCTAAATCAGTCGTCATGACTAAATTAAAATTTTGAAATGCTAGTAAGTTTATAATTTTGCCTTTTAAACTTTTTGGGAAAATAACAAAAAAATACCTATTGAATTTTACTAAAACAAATTGGTCCTGACTATTTTTATAATGATTTTGACTACTTAAAATCTGTTAACATCTCTATTTATCATTTTGAAATTCAACATATATTTTTTGTCATTTTTCTTGATTTTTTTAAAAAAATCCTTAAGTCACCCTCACTGGCTGGCCAATGACTCGTGCCAAAGTTCAAGTAAACCGTCGATCATTGAAACTCTGCACGACTGGCCAATGACCAGTTACTAAAGTTTCAGAAGATGGCAACTATTTTTTGGAATTTTTTAAAGTAATTGATTGTGTTAATAGAGTTGTAAATATCATTATAAGAGTTTTCAATCAGGTTACAAATATTAAAAAAAATCCCTATTTAAATATTTGGAAAACACGTAGTTAATAACATTAATGAAGTTTGGAGTATCATTATGAGAGTTGTCAATTATTTTACGAATGTTTGAAAAAATCTTAACTAAAAAACCTGAAAAACACGTGAGCAATAACATTAATGGAGTTATGTACATCACTTATACTTTTACAACTACGCCACAAATGTTAAAAAAAATTCCAAGAAAATAGTTGCAAGTCGTTAGAGACTCACCGACGCCGAAGTTCTAATGGTGGGCTGGCCAGTGAAAATGACTTAAAGCTTTTTTTTTTTAAAAAAAAAAAGGTAACATTATAAATTCATTAACATTTCAAAATTCCAAGGCATTATGATTGATTTTGAATTTGTTAAATTCAGATGACCTTATGAGGTTTTTGAAATTCAAGTATCATTTTCTTTTGAAATTTTCCTTTATAATAACCTAATGGTATAAAGACTCCTTAATGAGGTGCTGAGCTTGACTTCACTTGAAACCTCAAGTTGTTAACACCTAGGCCCTAAATAAATAATAATAATAATAATAATAATAATAATATAATGTTGTCTCTGTTTAAAATCCATATTCATAGTATGAAAGTATTTATCGTTAAAGTATTTTTTGTTTTAAATTATTAGAATATTCATAATAAATTATCAGAATAATGCCCTTGCATTTATAAAGAGCTTAGTGGATATTAATAAAAATGTTTCTACTATTTCATATAGTTAACTGACTTAACTCCATCGCCCTTTTATTTAAAAAACAAAAAACAAAATTTAAATTTTCCCTGAAATGAATTAATGGCGTGAGGATACAGATGGATCAATAGTGACCCAGTGGATGCCATCGGCATCAGCGGGCGGGTGGGAGAGTTAAAACGGAACAAGTGACTGGTGACTCGTGACTTGCGAGAGGTATGTTTCTTCACAAACTAGAAAATAGGAAGACATGAGTGGGTGAGAGAAACAGTAAGAAAAGGGAGAGATAGACTCTTTTTTTCTTTTCTCCTTTTTTTTTTGGGAATCAGAAAGGTAGGCCCTAACAAATTGTACGTTACAAGTAGGATTAAATTCACAACCTTTTACTAAGAGCGAAGCATTTATGTCACTAGCCTATGAGAATGAGTGCGTATTGGATAATAGTGCTATGAATGCTCATTGTAATGCTGTTCAGTAAAGAACATCGAGGAAAATATGAGTATATGTATGTATGATATTTACAAGTAACTTTGTGTTCATATCAAGTTCACATATAGAACAGCAGGAATAGTCTTGCTGTTGGTACCAACCCCCAAATTCTGCAAGCTTGCTTAATAGGTCCTGCGTTTCACAATAATCAATTATACCCCTAAACAACAAACAGAACAAAATCACAGTGATTTTATCAAGTATAAATGCAATTAGGAATATAGCATACAGAATATAGGCCGGTTTCATCAACAATAACGTCAAAAGAATTTGGAAAAGAAAGGCCCCATGCCATAATATGAAGGAGATTTTATTATCTGAAGAGTTGATTGCTGATAGAATAAAATGGCACTGTGTGATCTATGTTACTGGCTTTATTTAATAGGATAAGACTTGTTGTCATCATAGTACTATAGCAATCTTACATTGGGCAGCATGGAATGCCTGAGTATAAACCCAGAGGCTCCAACTTCCTCGCAGATCAATCATTTGTGAGATTATCTATTACAAGGTGGCAACAGGCTCTGATTGGGCAGCTTGTTCAATCAACGATAACAATCCAAATCGAAGAGTAAACATCTGAATTTTTCAAAATACAGTAAGAAACAAGAAGCCCTTCATCAGTGTATGCATGTCGAGATCTCTGCATCTAGGTTTAGGAGATTCCAAGACTACATTTTAAAGATAAACTAGATTAGGCGAAGAATCAGTCATAGCAGAATTATAATGGTTTGAGGGTTGTTCAAAATTCTGCACCATAATCAAAATGACTGTGCAAACTGAAATCAGATCATCCTTTTATGAGGAATTCAAACTTTACCAATCTGCAAAACAGAAGAATGGAGCCCATTATTCCTGCTCAATTCTGTCATCGAGATGATTTTTCCTTCCCTGCACTGAAAAGAAAATAATAGTGGAATCATGTTTAAACGGAACATTGGTCGCCAACAGATCATGAGAAGTCAAGGTCATTTATGGAGCGGTGGAGATGAAAGATTAGAATTTTAATAAAAGAGAATATTGCACCCTCATCATAGCAACATGTCTTAAACTTGTGATCATTTCAAGTAAAGTTCACAACGTTGACAATTCTGGTTATATGAACACCTTTTTGTTCAAAGAGATATTCCCATTCAACTGAGGAATTGCTAAAGATACAAAACAATGTTATTCAACCTCCTGCCAACCCATAGAAAGTATTGCTTCTGCAAGAGCTAGAATTCTTGGAAGCAATGTTCATTACTCATGAGGTCGAGTGAAACAATTCTTAACGAAAGTATACAACAACCAATGCTAAACAATAAGATATTACAAATATTAATATGCATGAAACCGTGGATAGCCAGGATTAATGAATGAAAAGCCCCCCCCCCCCCCAATAGAGGTTTACTTTAGAACATGAAACAAGTCAGTAAAATTAATTGAATCCCAATTTAAACATGGTGAATACTTCAGTGGGAAGGAGAAAAAGAAATGGGCCTGAATCACAAAATATTAAAATTTTGAAATTTTATGCACATAACATTCCATCATTGATCATAATTCCTTTTTTTCTTCATAAAGCTTCAACAGATGATAATTATGCTCCTCATAGCGTTTCACAAATCTTTCCAGGAACTGCTTTTCAGGGATCTCAAACGGCACAGTTAAGCCAGCTTTATTTTCTATCAACCCTTCTGACTGAAGATAATCTAAAACTGCAGCCCTTGGGATGATCCTTCTCTTCAAGCTATATATCAATAAATTTGGTTTTTTGGCAAGGATCAAAGGATCCCAACCCAAATGGTTACTCAAAAAACTCAAAATTGCATCAATTTTATCCTTGGAGGTTAACATAATGTGCGGTTGCCTCCGAAATGATTCTGACCATGCTTCTTCTGACCATCCCCATCTCTTGAAGACGCCGACTTTGGCTTCCCAGTGGGACTTGCCCAAAGATATTTTGGCTAACAACGCAACATAAAATGTTGAATTCGAAGGATCAAACCCCAAACACTCAATTTCCTCCACCATCTTTGCAAGATCATCTGTGCGGGATAGTGAACGAGGCCTCCTTTTGAGTATGAGAGTAATGTTGGTTCTTGACACTCCATTCTTAAGCAGCAACTCGATATTTTGTATCAACCGAGGGCCATAAAGAATATCTGGGTAGCATTTTATACAATCGATGGTGGCTTCATCAGTATGCAAAAACCCTAATAGTAGTTCATATGACGGGATTATGTGATTGGACAAGCTTCGTTTTAGGAATCTCGGACTCTTATGCACCATAAGGACGATGTCGGAGGTAGAAGCACCTTTTGAGAGGAGAAATTCAAACTTGGGAAGAATCTTAATGAAGGGATTGCATAGAAGAAGTGACAAATCCCTTCTAACGAGATCGTGTATGAGAGATTCAGAGAAGCCGTGGCTTCTGAAGAAGCTGACAACTGAATCTGGCTTTACTGAGGTCTCGAATCGAACTCTCTCGGAAGCATTTAAGGCAGCCTCTTGGGAGAACCCTAAACTGTTAATGAGGTATGATACAGTAAACGAGTGATTATCTGGAAAAGACCCTGTGCTGAATTTGAGAGAGAATGCTGATGATGGGTAGCGTTGCAAAAGACGAAAGCATTGTGGGGATGGTGATTTTCTGAGAATACCCTTCACGCACAAAAGGGCTTTCAGGCGTTGGAAATCAGACATGAGCTTCAGATTTGAACGGCAGAAGGAGGGATCTTACCGTGATTTTTGAAGAGCTTGAGCTGCTAAAGAGCCTGAAAGTTATCGCAATCCTTGCAAGAGCTAGGTCAGAGTAAGCTATCGGGAACGAAGGCGGAACGGGCTGACGTCTATGGCTACATTTGTTTGGATTGGCTACAGACAAAACTGATTTAGGGTGTGTTTGGGTGACACCCCAAATCATGGTTTGGGGACCCAAATCATGGTTTGGGGACCCAAATCATGGTTTGGGGAATAAATCACCCAAACACCCCTTCCAAAAACCAAAACCATGGTTTTAGAAAAAGCAAAAAAATTTTTGCTTTTGGAGAAAAAAGGGAAAGTGTGAAGGCCTATATGATATGTATCTTGTTATTTTTTTTATAAATATATTTAATCTTATATTTTATAAATATATATACACATTAATTATTTATTAATTATATTATCTTATGTATTATTAATTATGTTGGTAAAAAACATATTATTAACAATTTTATTCCTTCAAATTAAAATATATTATAAAATCTATTTTTTTTGTAATTATCATATTAACTTATATCTTTTTTTTTAGTAATTTGTATATATAAAAAGTGCTTCTGATAACAACTATCCAAACACTCTCACTTCTCAGAATCACTTTTTTACAAAATCTATTCTTCACAGAATCTATTTTCCCCAGAATCTATTCTCCAAAATCACTTTTCTAAACCACGGTTTGGTTTCATCCAAACACACCCTAGTCTAACTCGCTTCTATAACTGAAATTAGAGTAAAAATTAGTTAGAGTATGTTTAGATAGGTGTTTTTAAAAATTAAAAATTATTAATTTTTAGATGATTAATAGAAAAGTTAGTTTAACTATAAAATAACTGAAAAAGACATGGATTTTATTGAATAGTGGTTTTTTAAATTTTATATTTTTAACGTGATACTAGTTTAAAAAATATATAAAATTATTATAATAAAATATAAATATTTTATTTGTGAAATTATGAAATAAAAATATTCGTTACGGAGAAAAAAATTAAAAACACGTTATAGATAATTAATTAAATATACATAATGGACAAACATGAATATAAATTAACATTCATTTGGTCTCTAATTAAAGTAAATGAAATCACATAACTAATTAGATAGTAAGCTTTGCACAATTTGGTCTCTAATTGAGTTACGAACACGATTCATTTGTGCGACAGATGTTAAACTTGACGAGGATGCCTCACCAGCTGCATGATTATTGTCTTCGTCTATTACACTTCCATGTTCAGCTTCTATAAAGCGGTCATCAGTTGGAGAATTTTGCCTGATAAAATTATGGACAATCATTGTTGCACAAACTATGCAGACCTGTGTTTGAAACTTGAATCTGGGCATATTTCTTAAGATTGCAAACCTATTCTTCCACATCCCAACAGTTCTTTCAATAGTGGATCTCAAACTTGAATGATAATAATTGAAGGCCTCATTCTGATTTGTAAATCCTGGGTGACGATTAAAGTCTGGAAGATGATAGCGCTCACGTCTGTACGGGCCAAAGTATCCCACCTGTGATGGATAACCAGCATCAACCAAATAATATTTTCTTAAAAAATCATGACTCAATTATATTGAGGTGAAAATAATATAAGTGAAGCTCAATTTAAAAATAATTAATTTGGAAATTAAAGAAATATACCTTTAGATGAATGAGAGAAATTCATGGATGGAATTGAGATAGCAGAATGAAAGACACGAGCATCATGTGCACTACCTTTCTAGCCCGTCAATACGAATGTGAAGCACATATTCTAATCACATACGGCCATGACATTTTGACTAGGAAATCCCTTCCTATTGATATAGTTGTCTTGCCTAGCTTAACTAACCTTACAGTTTATGTGAGTACCATCAATTGCTCCAACTGCATCCCTAAAAAATGAGAAGTATCGTGGATCATTTGCTATTTTTGGGTGACAATAAGAAAATGTAGGATCAGTTGGCCTGATATCTTCTCAAGATAAATTGAGGCAAGCAGCCAACACTCTATGAAAATGCAGACTGACAGTTTCTCCTAAACGCTGAAACCTTTCCTGAATCATCCTATTACACTGGCCATGCGCAATTGTATTCAAGAACATGACAACAGATTCATGGACACCTATGTACTTAGTATTTTGTAACCCATGTTCAACCAATTTAGAACATAACGGATGGAATGTCTTTATTTCCATTCGAAACATATCCTTAGACCGTCCTTCATGCCTGTCTAAAAGTTCTTGAACCCATAAATAACCAGTTTGTTCACTAGTTATACATGGCTGTTTGCACAGAAAAAATGTCATATACTGACCCATTAACACACTTAGCTCTGATAATTGTGTTGTGTGTTCATGTAAAGCGGGAACTAATTGAGACCATTCATCTCCCCTACCATCCTCCCAACCCTCGTCCCAACCCTCCGTTGAATCAGACATAATAAATGTGTGTTACCTTTGAATAGATAAATACTAAATGTAAGTAAAATTTTTACAAAAAAGAAAAGATAAGATAATACACAAATTATCATTAAACTTTAACATAATAATTAAACATAGTCATGAAACATACAACATTAAACTTAGTCATTAAACATAGTCACAAAACACACAACATTAAACCTAGTCATTAAATACATCGTCATAACACATAACACATAATACAACATTAAGGTAGAAGAAAAGAAGTCATAACAAGTCCCCTGGCACGACTCAAGGATTCTTAGGTGCAGTATATGGCAGTGGATTTTTAGCATTGTGCTTCAACCAAACCACTAATACCTCTCGATTTTCTCTCAGACCAGCATATATGTCCCTGAAGGTCTTGTTTGCTAGCATATTACAACATATGACACAAAGATGAGTGTCACTGACAATTTCCTCCATATTCAGCAAATCAGTGGTCAGCTTAGTAGTGTTATCACTATTGGAGATTTTGTTTACTGCCACTGTTGTACTAATGGAAGCCTTCTCAATCGAGCTTACTGCATCTGCTATTATTTTTGTTGCTGGCATTTTTTGCTTCTTATACTTATCCAATCCTCCACCTCTCTTCCTCTTTCCTTGGCTCCCTGAACCCCTAGGTATACTGGGTGCAGTGTTTGATGTGTTTGCAGTTAAATTGATCCCGTCCAAATCGTCCGAAACTCCTGCACGGCGTCCAGTGTCAACACCTAAAAGCCCATCTTCACTATCCCCTAAACCTTCTTCCCAATCCATTATGGGTCGGTAATCATTTAGCTGATCAGCCCTCTATGGCTCAGGCTGGGTTGAAGAAGGTGACCACATATCCTGTCCCGATGCCATAGTGCCCTTGAATAGAGTTTCTAATTCAATCCGGAATTTTAACCCATGCTGCCTAAACTTTCGCATGCTGGATTTTCCTGCAAAGCCAAAAGTAAACAAAAGTTAAATTATTTTCAAAAGTCATTAACTACTTAAAAATTAACAGAAGCTAATTCATACCCGCTTCTTTCTCTCCTACCACTCATCAGATGCCACCATTGTGTTTCTTTCAGGGTCCCATCCTATACTGGTCTCCTTACTAATTAGCTGCTCAGATGCCTTCCACTCTTTTCTCAAGTTATCCAATCTATTTTTCAGCTGTCTTTTCTCATATCCTCTCCCTATCTTTTCATTGAATGTTTTGTGAATGTTGTCCCAGCCTTGTTTTGTAAACGAGGATCCTTGACGATGTTTGCTATAAATTGTGTCCATGCATATTTTGAGAAAAACACCAGTAGTGCTTACATCCCAATGTGCTTTGCCTTTATCGTTACTCATTTTTCTTGATGAAATTAAAAATGTATCAAATCCACAATAAGTTTAGAATCAAGCAGTGAAACACAAGAATAAACCCACAATTAATAGTGTCTACTTAAACTTTTTATTTAGAAGCAATCAATCAATACATTTTTAAACTAATAATGTTTATATATCTTATCCACTTTATACGTCATAGGGCAGCCCAACCACATCCCTCTTCACAGAGAGCACAACATTCTAAATGAAATCCCTAAATAATAAGTCCCACGTATTCCTAAGAATGATATATTGAAAGTAACAGAGTTTACAACATGCTAAAACAAATTAAAAAGAAAAACAAATTAGGAAAAAAAATATTTTATATTCTTAAAAAGGAAAACAAATTCGAAGTTAAACCCCCAGGCACAAGTCTGACATTCAAGATTGATTATATTCCTAGAATGGCTCCTAGCAGCATTTTGAGTGAAGCAGAAGTCAAACAACATAGGCAAACCCAGAGAAGCAGTAGCACCGAATTAAAGGAGAGTGACGCAAATTCATCACAAACAACATGTAAAATCAAAAATGGCAAATTCATCACAAACAACATGTAAGATCAAAAATGGAAAATTCATCACAAACAACAGGACACAAAAATCAACAAATTCATCAGATACTACAAGAGAATTAAAACCACAAACCACTATCAGAGGAGCAGACGAGTTCGAAGGAGAGTCAAGCTAAACGGACAGAAGCAGTAGCAATCGAGAGGCACAAAACTTGCCCTCTTCTTTCACAATGTATCTAAAAGAAAAATAGAATAACAATCAGAACTCAAATATGGCAAGAGTTTCTATACCAAATCTCAGTCCATCTCAAATATTTGTATGTATATATATGCATCACACACGGTGACCTTACCTGCGAGTTGAAGACCTTCAAACAACCCCAAGTAGAAGAGAGTGACGGAGGGAGAAGTGTTGACTTCAATGGACACGGTAAATCGAGTGGAGCAGAACAGAGTTGAAGACTTGCGTTCGAGTTGAGGCAACCACGGTAAATCGAGTGAAGCAGAAATCAAATGGAGCAAAGATGGCTGGATCTACAGGAAGCACAACTACACATCGATGAAGCACGGTAAAGCTCAACAGATCTGGTGAAACCAACTCACTGAGGATGAATTGAAGATCTGGGAGAAGACCACACCAATTTGCAGCAAATCAACTCCGAATGATCTCTGGCACATCCAACGACGAACGAAATTGCGCGCTCAGTTGAACAACCGAAGGACCACTTAAAATGGAAGAAGAAAATGGGAGAGCGTGAGAGAGAAGAGCTGGGGAGAATGCTCGGTCGTGTGGGAGAAAATGGAGAGAGTGAAGGAGGGAGAAGCACCAAAGACAATCACAACCAAAGAAGCGCCGGTGAGAGGGACAGAGGGAGAGTAGCTGGTGACGGTGAAGATGAAAGCTTGGGGACTGCAGTGAGCTCTATGGAAGGGGTGACCTGAAATGAAAGTGAAGGTGGATTCGGGGGAGGGGAAATGTAGGGAGGATTAATACGGGTAGTTCATATTTTTATGATCCAATTAATGCTCCATAACGGTAGATCTCAGTTTCAAATGCTCCAAGAGTAGCTCTGCTCAGCGTTTACCGTTTACCTCAGAAGCTGGTTGCGTCAGTTGTCCCAGCCAAACAACCATTTCTCTTTAGTTCAGTTGCAAACCTTGGTTTCACAATTTCCTAAGGCCTTTTAGAGTTTATGACGGCAATCCAAACGAAGCCTATTTCGGACCGACAGGCTCTAATTGAACCAGAGTTTGCATTTTATTCGATTATTGATTTATTAAATTTAAAATACTTAAAATATTATTGGGTTAACATAATTTTTTTATTTTTCAAATTTACCCTCATTTTTATTTTAATTTTTTAAGTTTCAAACTATAAATTTTGATCACTCAAATTTCTTTTCTTCTAAAAAATTGATCTCTATAATTTAATAAAAATTTAAATTATTTTACTCTTCAAATGACCAAAACCAAAAACCAAAATAAGGATAAATATTAATCCAATATTTTTTAATATTTTTTCTAAGTAAGCTAGTTATTTTCTTTACATTTTACAAATTTCACTAATTTTTTAATCTATATAATTTCATTCAGTTTTAACTTTAATTCATCCAATTCAATCCATCAACTTTTGATTTTTTTTTAAAATTATTTTATCCTCATATCTTCAAAAAACCATCTAATCTTTCAAAGATTGATTTTGACAAGTTAAAAAAATATAAAGACTAATGGATTAAACAGCATAAAATTGCAATGAGTCATTGGATCATAACTAAATCAGAACTGAACCAATTAAAAAACAATACAAACCAATAATTAGTTGTTTGAAATAAAAATAAATCAACAGGCATATCAATGAAAAATAATAGCACTTCTCATTCAATTTTTTGTTGTACAATATATTCATTGATAATTAATTGTTTTTACTTAATCAAAAAATGTATTCAGCCGCGACTCCCCCCATATACATGACAGTAATAAGAGGTGCTCAGGCCACCCTCATGAAGGTCCATCAGTTTCTTCCTCGTGCTAATCCCTCCCTGTAACAGTCACGTCACTTCACGCAACCGAATAAACCAAATCAAATAGGTTTTTACAAAGACAACAAAGGAGTCTCACCAAGAATTAGACTTGCACCTTGAACCACTAACTCAGAAAACACAAGCCATGAGTTCTAAATGGCTGATCCATGGTGTTAAAGAGAACTCAGAAATGGACTTTCAACAAGTACAGAACACAACAATAGCCAAAGGCTTTCATCAACCATAAGAATTTGACTTCAAGACACTCTCTTTTGTTGTCAAACAAGCCATCATCAGAGAACTGTGTTGACTTGACATATTGAATAAACAATTGTACACAAATTTTGCGGTGAAGGATTTGGGCAAGCTGCATTATTTTCTAAGCATAGAACAAGAGCTGGGAATATGGTAGAATGCTTCTATCTCAGACTCGAGTATTTTTCTGATTTACATGCCAAGGTAAAAAGACGGAGAACTTAAAAGGACTTGTTACCCCAATGAGTAGTGGTTCAAAGCTGTCAAGGTAGCACCATAATGTGACGGTTGATCCTCAACTTTATAGATCTTATACTGGAAGCTTTACAATGTGTGACAATCCACGCCTGAGATAGTCATCTGGTTATAAACACTGATGCATGAAGTAGTGTCCAACATTGAATGCAACGCCCTGTAATTTACTATGACAATCTAGGCACCGTAATGTCGCCAAATAACCCTATCTAGCAGAACAATATTAAAAGTCTGATAGAAAATACTATATAGTTAAAGTTGCAGGCGGCTCAAGCAACTCCTGGAGAACACAGAATTCATGGGCGCAAGATGACTCAAGAATTCAAATAACACGAGTTAAAAATATAAATAAATTAAAACAACAGTACTTTGCAACCAAAACACCTTTCTATGCCTCCTTCAACCATTGGTAAAGCATGAGATATTCTAAATATTGATATACATCAGAACCGGGGCTAGCTAGTACTGACGATAAAACCAACAAAAGACGTCCAAGTTAGGAAATGAGGCAGTTCACTAAATTTCCAAATTTAAACATGGGAAAACAAGTACTTTAATGAGGAGGCACAGAATGAGGCAGACTAGCAGGAAGAATTGAGATTAAAACTTTCATGAGCATGACATGTCAGCATCCTTCATATTTTCTTCATATAGCTTTATTAACTTATGATCGTGCTCCTTAAAACATTTCACATATCTTTCCAGGAACTGCTTTTCAGGAAGAACAAATGGCCTGACTACGCTTGCATTCTTCTTCACCAAACCTTTTGAGTAAAGAAACTGTAGAACAGAAGCCCTAGGAATAATCCTTTTCTTCAAGCTAAACCCAATGAATGTTGGTCTTTTGAGAAGGAGCAAAGAATTCCAGCCCAACTGGTTAACCCAAAAACTCATCACCGCATTAATCTTATCCTTGCCTGCTAACATACAGCGCGGATCCGTCCTAAATGCTTTCAACACCGCTTCTTCTGACCATCCCCACCTCTTATAGACTTCAACCTTGGCTTCCCATTTGGATTTGCTTAAACCCACTTTGGCCGTCAATCCTGCGCCGAATGTTGTGGCGGAAGGATTAAATCCCAAACTCTTAAGTTCTTCCACCGCTCTTTCAAGTTCATTTGTAAAGTTTAGCACACGAGGCGTTTCACGTAGTATGATAGCAATGTTCGCCCCTGACACCCCCTTCTTAAGCAACATATTGATACTATGCATCACTCGAGAACCATGGAGCACAGCCGAGTAGCGTTTTATACAGTCAATGGTGGTTTTGTCATCTTGAAGGAACTCTTTTAGCAATTCATATGATGGGATTATGTGATTAGTCAAGCTTCTCTCCAGGAATCTCGCATTCCTTTGCACCATGAGGACAATGTCGGAGGCAGAAGCACCTTTTGAGAGGAAAAACTCAAACTTGGGCAGAATCCTGTTTTGGGGATCGCAATTAAGAAGCCACCGATTCTTTCTAAGGACATCTTTCATCATAGACTTGGAGAAACCTTGGCTTTCAAAGAAGCTGACAACTGCATCTGGCTTTTGTGAGGTGTCAAATCGAACTCTCTTGGAAGCATTTAAAGCAGCTTCTTGGGAAAACCCTAAATTGTTAACGAGGTATGATACAGTAAACGAGTGGTCACCTGGAGAAGCAATTGTGCCGAATCCGAGAGAGAAGGCCGGCAATGGGTAGTGTTGCGAAAGACGAAAACATCGTGAGGTTGGTGATTTTCTAACAGTACCGCTCAGGCACAGAGTGGATTTGAAGCGTTGGAAATTATACATGAGCTTCAGATTTGAGCGGTACGATGAGGGATCTTACAGCGACAACTGATGAGCCTGAATCGGTGAAAGAGACGAAGCAAGATTTGAGCCTCTCAAGCGCCAAATGTTGCCCGTTGGCAGTGGAAGCCTCGCGTGATTAAACAGTTTGCTGAATTGGCAGTGAGAGGATTTTTTTCTTTTCTTTTGGGAAATTGATAAGGAAGCTTAGGTAAATCATCAATGAATGAGTGGAATGGGCCTATGAGGAGGGTACTGCACTATATGAGGAGGCCTATCAGCTGAGAATGGGCTCTCTCTTCTGCTCTCTTATCCAATCCATTTCTCCATAACCATAACTTCCATAACGACTTTGTTTTAAAAAAACAAAAAAAGATAGATGAGGTTAAACTTGAAAATGATGTGGATTTTTTTTTTTTGTTCGTCATCGTTATACAGTATTGCAGAAAATATGGGTTTAAAAGGGAGGACGTTAAATAAAATAAAATGAAAGGTAATTTGTTATATGAAAAGATTGTATCCATACTTTAAACAATAAAAATATATCATGTAACCAAACAAGCTATACGACTTGGAATTAAAAGTTTAATGTAGTGATATTAATCCGTTAAGTTTTTTATCTAAGAAATGTTTATAAATTATGTGAATATGATACACAGAATATATATATTTATATATATATATTTGACTTCGATGTGTATTGGATGTAGCACAAAAGCGATCATATTCTTTGATTCATGCAAATAAGTACTATCTTTAATTTTTAATATAAGAGCTGGTTGACTAATTTAAGTAAATTAAGTTAGTTATTTGTAATAAATAAATATTATCTTCCTAAAATATCCTTACTAACAAGTGTCATTTGATAAAATATGTAACATGTGTAATTACTATAACAATTATCTTCAAAAAATTAGATGAATATGAGAAATAAAATAAATTATGGTCTTAAATATAAGATCAAATTGAAAGACAAACATATAGTTATATTAAGGATCAGAACCAGTAATATGTTTAATTGGAAAAAGTACAAATAAGCATTTTAAACACTCAAAAATTAAAATTTTCGGTGGCACGGCGTTACTCGCAACAACATTAATTGAAAAAAAAGTACAAATAAAGCTAGCAGCCATACCGAAGTCGGTATAAAATTGTTAATTAGGTAGAGAAAAATCAACTCAACATTTTGCATAATATTTTTTTAAAAAAGACTTCACTGTAAATATAAATAACGTTTGAAAAATACTACTTCTAATTAAAATATATAATACTACTTCCGATCCTCAATATAAGATCTTATTTGATTTTTGTTTTGATTCTAAATGTAAAACCCCAATCTATTTTGTCTATGATATTTATGTGTTTTTTTCTTAAGATAATAATTATAATAATAGTAGTTCTAATAAATATACTTAATTAACAAATATATTTTAAGAAAAACAACACACATTTATGATAAATAAATAACTTCACTTATTTTTTTAATTTATTTAAATTAATTAACTAACTCTTAAATTTAGAATCGGGAATAGTAATCAAATTTAACAAACAGTTAAAAAAAAAAGCATTTTTGTTGTTGGAACCACTTCACAAAAATTACGACTTACTACCTTAAATAAAAGTACCAGTCAACCACAGTCACAGCCACCTTTTCAAGTACCGGCCCCAAAAAAAGAAGAACTTAACATGAAATCAATTTGAAATTAATAGTAACCATTGTTTTAATAAATATTTTAGGTAACTGATAATTCTCAATGCCCTTTAACGTAAAACTAAAATATTAGTATAGGTCAAGAGATGGGTTTAATTTGATACATCTTTATTTAAAAAATTATGAGTTTATTTATTTTAAGCAAATCACTGACTATTTGGAACTATTTTAGGTTTCGAAAAATTCAGATCAATTCCAAGCCCAAAAATAGATGGATGCTCGAAATATAAGGTTTATGCATTAAAATAACTAATGTAACATTAATATTGAGTAAAATTAATACTTTATAACTAGTTGACTAAGTTTAAAATCCACACAAATCTTGGGTCCTCCACTTTTGAGCCAATTGATGATAACATATTATTTTTAAGGGTTACAATGATTAATATATTAAAATAATCCTGTATCCTATGTGACATTTTTTTATATTATTTATATTTATTATATAGTTTATCCGTACAGTTTGTTTCCTTAGCAAATCCGCTGGTTAATTTGGTCATTTCCGTGCCCAGCTTTATGAGACCGTTGTTCATACGCGCTACATTGGAGCGTGGGCCAACCCAATTCTCGGCGACGCTGGCTCTCGAATTTTTATTTTCTACAGCCTCTGCCATTTCACTTTTCTCCGACGTGGTAATTATGATATTCCACGTTACTTTTTTCTTATTTACCGTTCAATCTTATTTTTCCCGTTCTAAATATAAAATCTAATTAATAGATAACATTTTATCTTAATCCATCTTTTTTTCTCATTTCATTTTTCTTATTTTACCCTCATTAATATCTCTAAAAAAGTTCCACACAATTTTACATAATAAATTCAAATAATTAATTTAATTAGTTTTTTAATTTTTATAAATTAGTTAACGATATCTTATATGTAGATTCAAAGGAAGATAGCGTATAGCTACAACAAGAATCCCAATTTTTAAAAAAATACTCCTCCGGTCATTAATATAAGATTTATTTAACTAATTTTCTTAGATTAAAGAAGTTAGATAAGTTAGTTAATTACAAAAAATGTGACACGTTTTTTCTAAAATACCATAATCATCTTTCTTAGTATCCCCTCTCCCTCTTCTACTAGATTATGGTTGAGGGAGTATCCATAGGAGTAATTTAAAGAAAATTGATAAATATAATAAATGAGTCTTATATTTAGTACCAATTTTTAAAAAATATTTGCGATAAATGAATCTAAAACTTCGTAGCCTTTGTGTGCTGGTGATTCCATCAATAAAATGCATTCTTTTGTGTTTTTTTTTTTTTTTTAAAACTTCATAGCCCTCTTGTATTTCGTAAAAATCGTATAATTTTTTTAGCCACTAATCTTAATGCACTTCTTTTTGGGAAAAATAGGTTAAAAAAAAGTGAAACTTGCAAAATTATAAATTAGGGCCTGTTATAAGATTTATATAGGTATTGACAACAATCAAATAGCAGATGATAACAAATTTTTAACAAAATACCTATTTGCAATTTTTACTGTCTTTTTTTTTTTATTTTCTCTTCTGTTTATGTTATATTTTAATGTTAATATGTTGTCTGGTCAAAAAATATTAAGAGGGTGCTTGACAAGATAGAAAAATACTTTTCAAAAGCACATTTTTGTAAAACAGATTCTTCCACATATTTACTTGGCATACCATGAAAGTATTTTTAAAACCATAATTTAATTTTCATCTAAACAACTTCTAATGCGATGACTTGCATACGTGTTGGTAATTATACCCAGAATTTGAGTACGTTAAAATTTATGCCTTGTTTATTTTAATGCAATTCCATAGTATAACTTCATTGTAATAAGACAGATTAGACTGGGCCATGGGCATACTAGAATCTTAGGTTAAAAAAATGGTTATCGCTGCTTAAATTCTTATATTTTATATTTCATAAATTAATGAAATCAGAGTCGTTTCGATAATGATAGTAATAATGGTAAATTTCAAAGTCGTTTTCGACTCAGTGATTTTTCCCCCCCCCCCCTATTTAGCAGGGTGCTGTCTTTTTCATATTTTGCCGCTGTTATTACTTATTAGTCTTTAAATATCTACATGTAATTTCGGAAAAAATCAAATCAACATAGTACAGTGAATTGGAATCCATGGTAATTAATCATTAATATTTGAATAATTTTTACATCAACATTGAGATTTGATATGAAGAATGGAATCCTTTACTATTTGTATTTATGAATAATATAACTTATGCTTTAATTATATATCATAAAAAATTCTTTTAATTGTAAGAATTTTGTGAAATTGAGTAAGTGGAAAGAACTGGATTCTTTTAAGACGAAGTCAAGCATTGAAAAAATTATGCTGTGATAGTTACTTTAATTGGGTCTAGTTATGCTTAAATTTGACTCACTAATATCAAATATGACATATTAAAAATGTGTTTTTTGTTATATAGACATACCAGATTTTTTTATAAAAAGCTCAATTAAATCTATTTAATTAACTTTATTCTAATTTTAATTTGCGGATAAGCGTGACTTTTGTCGATATCAACCCAAATGATTGTTAAAACTATGTTGATAGTGTCATTTTTTTTAATTAACGTGATTTTTTTAGTATTTTTTTATATTGACAGAAGTATTATATTAATGTTTGAAATAACTTATAAATATATTTTATTAGTATTTCGTAACAAGTCAGTTTAAATGGGAAGCAAGCACCATGATTCGAAAAAAGCCCCTTAAATCGCAATGATGAGAAGGGTACTGAAGTAAATATATGTCAGTCGTTGGATCTTATGAACAAACAATATGCAGCCGTCAGTCCAATCAACAAAATACTATTTTTAACACTTAATATAAAAATTAGTTAATTAATTTAAATAAATTTTAAAAAATTGTTAAGTTAGTTATTTAGAATAATAAGGTATTTCTTTCTTATAATATTCTTACTAATTATACATATTAGTTAAAACTATTATTTAATTATATATTTAATATATGTAACTATTACTAAGAATATTTTAAAAAAACAAAATAAATTAAAATTTTATATTAAAAATTAAATTAATTTTTATATTAAGCACAAGAAAGAAGTATGTTTTTTCATTTTTGCCCGAGTTAATCTTGGGGCCAGCCCGGGAAGCCAAGTACGTGGCATGATTTGCTTCGTCCATTACATCCAACGGCCATCGTCTAATAATTTCATGACACTGTATGAAAGCTACACTTTAGGGAATCTAAGCTTAAGGATGTGAATGAAGATAATAAAATTAAAATCAGAATCCCCAAGGGGCCATTGAAGCACTCCAACATGTCCATTTCTGGTTAAACGCATCTGTTTTAGTGTCATGTGGACACATTTCGTTAGTTACACTCACATTCGGAACTGTGTGCATTCTATTTTATGGCTACTTTCGGCAATAAAAAATAACAAATATATTACTTTTTTTTTTATAT